TTCTGAGTCGGGTATTGAATTGCATGTTTTCTTGCCGAAAAGGTCTGGAGTTGCTGGAAACTCAGAGTAAAACTCAGGATGCCTCATGTCTCCCTGCTCTCAAAGTGTCCGACATCCAGCCAACGATACCCTTCACTGCCGTTCAGATGAGCACTGCAGGTACAGCAGTTCACTCCTCATCTCATTTAATCGTAACAAAACGAGCCAGTTTGTTTCTAACGGGGTACGTGTTCTCATGCCTGAAGGTTATGTCCCGGTTCAGTACTGTGAGCAGCCTACAAACGGTTTGGTGTACTTCAGAGCCATGTGCAGTCTGAACACTCTGCCAGAGGACCTGAGGGTTTACGTCCCGCTCTTCTGCAGCATCATCACCAAGTGAGTTCCAACGTATGAGCCGAAGCCCCGGACCTGGACTGAGATAAACGCTACTGGTGAACATGGAAAGACACTTTAATATAAAATCCTCCTTCCTCTTCTTGAGTAACATTGAATTGAATTTAATCTCTTTTTTTAATGAAGCAAAAAGTACAAATAAAATTGGGAGCAATGCTTTTCCATATGGTGGAAACAGAAAACAGGCTCAAACATTCACACAAGCAGATATTGTAACATGAGTAGCAACAGCTGCTTCCTGTTGTGAATGCTCAGGCTAGTTAGCATGACAACTGATGATGGTGCATAAATAGTTTTTTTTTCTGGAATGACAAGTTACTTCTCCAGCATTAGAACTTTTATTTCAAATTGAAACACTTTCTTGCCCCAACTAGATTTGGGTCCTTTTGGTGGCTTGGTGGTTATTCTTGCACTTTGATTAATTCACTCAAGAAGATTTCTGAATGTTTTTAAAGAAACATTCATACATTACTTTTTGTTCATAAAATTACTTTTTGTTGATACTTACTGATAAATCCTTACCAAATATTATGAACACAGTTGATTTAACTAAATAGTTATTTTTGTTTACTGCATGTTTTATCATAAATTTGCTTTGAAAACTTAACAATCAAGAAGACATGATGTCGATTTTCCACTCTAAGCTGCAACAGCGGATTAAAAGTTGTATTGTTTTTGGGCAGAATGGGTTGTGGAGATCTGGATTACAGGCAGCAGGCCCAGCAGATGGAGATGAGGACAGGAGGAATGTCTGTCTCAACGCACGTCATTCCTGACTGCAGCCTGATGGACACGTTTGAGCAGGTTAGCCAAAAACACATTTATCCTTTTGTCTTCTTCTACTTTTGGATAAACCTAAGCTCTGTCTCTAAAGGGAAATTGTCAGCTTATTGTTGCTGTTTCTGTCGTCTCTTGCAGGGGGTTCTCCTGTTCTCCTCTTGCCTGGAAAGAAATCTTCCTCACATGTTTAAACTTTGGAGCAGTATTTTCAACAGGTTAATAAAACTCCAAGATGCAAATACACTTTCTGTCAATTTTCTCTTGTTTTTCTGGCTGGATATTTGACCATTTTTCTTATCAGAAATGATGAGACTTAATAATTCAAATTGATTGGTTTCTTGCTATAGATTGGGCCTTTAAGCATTGTTGGCATGTTCTATAATGGTGAGAGAAGGAAGCTCTACCTTTTCTAATCCAGTCTAAAACTAGTTTTTGAAGAAAAATGTTATGGTCAGATGACAGAAATACATTTTTTTCTATAGTTAAGTAAATTTGGATGACTGTAAACAAACTGATGAATGATTATTGCTTTGCATGAAATAACAAATGACCGGTGGTTCTCCTGCAGCCCTCATTTTGACAGCGAAGAGCGCCTTCGCGTTCTGGTGATGATGGCGGCGCAGGAGTTGGCAAATGGGATCTCCTGTTCTGGACACATGTACGCCATGACCAGAGCGGGACGACACCTGACACCAGCTGGGGAACTGCAGGAGACCTTTGGTGGGATGGAGCAGGTAATCCTGATTTTGGGCAGCATTGACTGAAAGATGGAATGTCTGTTATCTGTAGTGTTTGTTTTGTTGTACCATCTCTCTGCTTTGGTTTACTGATCGGGCTTTATGTTTTTATTTGAACATTAGGTGAAGTTTTTGAAGAGAATAGCAGAAATGCCAGATCTTACACAAGTCATCCGAGTATTACCCAGGATCAAAAAGCACCTTCTGAACCCCGAGAACATGAGGTGGGATCATTGCTAGATTTTCTAGTCACTTAGTAATAAAGTTTGGTTGAATCTGAGAAGTTTATCCTTTTTCTTCATATTGTAACAGGTGTGCAATCAACGGAACGCCACAGATAATCTCTGACTCAGCAAAAGAGTTGGAGAGTTTTATTAACGACGTTGCTGAAAACAGAAAAGAGCGCAAATTTATCAGAGCAAATATTATTAAGGTAAGATATTCCTAATGGACTGAAGCAATGCCCTGCTTAGAACATATATTCATTATTATGCATTTTTGTTTCTTTGCTACAGAAACCACTTGACCCTCTGGATGATTCAGGTCCAACTAGAAAACTAATAACAGTAAGTTCAATATAATCAATGGGTTTGGATGTTTCCTAGTCGTTGCATCTGTTATCCATCAGTGAGAAACCTAGAATTATAATTACATTCTGGATTGAACAGTTATGTCTATATTACCTGAAGTTTAAACTTTTTTTTTATGCTTCTACAGGAGCCAAATTTCCAGCCATGTCAAATGAAAACTTTCTTCCAGATGCCCTTTCCTGTTAACTTTGTCAGTGAGAGTATCCGTACAATCCCTTTCTGCCACCAGGATTATGCTAGGTAACTATAAAACAAATACAGAAAAGTCATTTGATAAGTGATTGCATCTTTATTATAACTTTTATTGTAGCTCACTTAATGTAACTACAGGCCTTTCCCTGCATTACATGTCAAAATGATCACATTACGGTAATTATGTTGACATTTTCACATTTCTCCATTGTTTAACCTCTCCACTTGCTGCCATCTTCTTCTGAGTCAGTTTGTGCATCTTGGCAAGAATGATGACGGCTAAATTCCTCCACGGAGAAATTCGGGAGAAGGGCGGAGCCTATGGAGGCGGAGCCAAAATGGGAGGAAGTGGCGTGTTTTCCTTTTACTCTTACAGGTGGACAGCAATTCACACATTCGATTAGCCTTACTTCATTTTTTAATAACAAAATGAAAATTATTACAAAATAAGAATGTAAAAATCAGTCTTTGATTATATTAGGTACTTAAATTTTGAAGGAAAAAAGAATTCTGGTGTTAAATTCAACCCCTGTGTGCTTCAGGAGCATGTCGCCCTTAGATATTATCGTTTATTTCTGCTAACTTTGATGATTCTGTCTCAAAGCCAATGAAAACCCAAAATTCATTTGAAGAAAAATGTCTATAACTCTTTACTATTAGTTTAAAAAAATGCACCTGAACATTCCTGTATCCTAACTCAGACGACGAGTGGAGAACTCGGCTGAGCTGTTTGATTTCTTTTTCCCCTACGTTAGGAATCATAACCTGTGCAACCGTTAAAGGACATTTCTTAAGCCTCTCTTCTGTGCCTCAGGGATCCGAACTCAGTGCAGACGTTATCTGCATTTCGAAAAGGCGTCGACTGGGCGAAGTCAGGCCAGTTCTCTCAGCAGGACATCGACGAAGCCAAGCTTTCCGTTTTCTCCGCTGTAGATTCACCTGTGGCTCCTTCAGATAAAGGTGATGATGCAACATTTAATGGCTTTTGTCACAGAATCTTTTTGTAACATTTTAGATGCTTTTTTTATGGAGTGGAATCTGCTAGTTTGTTTTGATAACTTTTCCTGGATTTTCTTTTCTCTTAACTTCATTTGCTATATGATATAACATTTTTGCTCTTTATTTATTAACTCTGGTTTGAATAAAGCAGAGTTAAAAGGCTGGAAACTGATTTGATGTTTAAGTTGGTATCTGATCTCTTCTCTTTGTGGAGCAGGAATGAGTCGCTTCCTCAGTGGAGTCACAGATGAAATGAAGCAGAGTTACAGAGAACAGCTCTTTGCTGTGGATCATAAAAGCCTGGTGGAAGTGGCAGAGAGGTAAAACAGTTCAGGATCAATGATTGTTCCATGTCTTCACTGTTGAAATCTGAGTTAGCCTTTGGGAAACTCTGGCACACGAAGCGGAAATCAGCTGATTGTTTTCCTGCAGGTACCTCGGTGTCGGTCAGAGCACCTGTGGAGTCGCCATCCTGGGTCCAGAAAACGATGCAATCAAGAAAGATCCAACGTGGATATTAAAATAATGTTCTTTTCATTACTGGACACAAAGCTTGAATGGACTCTATTCTGAAACCAAACAAATGTGTAGGTTTTTTTTTTTTTTTTTTGTATTGCTGGCGAGAGACAGAAACGCACAACATGAAGACAACTAAAGCAGAAACCTTTTTATATTCCATCATGTACATATGACTGATGGAAAATATCCGTTACAGAAACACATTGAATACAAAACGAGATTGGAGTTTTGTGAAAGTAGAATCACTAAACATACTTTGTCATTAAATCATTACATTTAAAGGGATTTGTTGTCATAAAGTGATTTTGTTTGTCCAACACAGCCTTTAATTTACCAAGACTAACTAATGAGAAACTTCTGTTGTGTTCAGGGCTACAAATGCAGCTCATTACATTAGAATGTAAAAATAAAATTACAGTGAAACTCATCATTACAGAGTGGTCTAGTTCATGCAGGGGTTGAAATTAAACATTTTCTCCACCAGCCACAGAGGCTGGCAGAGAAAATGAGGCTAAAATAACATTAAAGGCTAAATTTACTTTTTTTGTTAATATGAATTCCCCACTTTAATGACCAATATTTAACACTAAACTTTACAACAAATCTGAGATTTGATATAAATTTTGAGAGCACAATACATAACAAATGAAAGTGATTTTAATAAGTTGGTAAGGATCAGAACCTCAAAAGAACTGTAACTTTTAACTGTTTCTTCAATATAAAAGAATCCATAAAAAACATTTTTTAATCCATATTCCCATTATTTACCAAATGAACACGACATTCAGCATTTCCACACCATAAAAGCTTTATTTACTCTTAACAGGACACTCACATCACGGTAACGCTACCAATGGGCTGTTCCACACATCCTCCAAATACTCTGCTTTGCTACAGCAACAGCCTGCATGAATAAAAACTATACGGTGCAAACACAGAAAGCCCAGGATGGATACAAGCAGCTAAGGCAACAACACGACACACACGTACAGTTAGCTTTTGACCGTACACACACACCTGCTCACTCTGAAGCCTTCAGGGACATTCTCAAGCGTGCGCTGATCCCCCAGACATCGATTCCCTTTTTAAAAGCATTTCTTGGGTGATTGACTACGTGGTTCAAAGTGCAGGTGAAGGTGCACCTGCACTTTGAACAGGTGCACCTGTTTAATCAAAAGATTTAATCCCAGTGTTCACACGAAACAATAATTAGACATGGCTGCAGTTGGAGCACTAAAACCTAAATACAGTACATTGTGGGTAGTGCATATATTTGTGTTTCGTAACTTTGGATATCTAAGCTTTGTTAGATGTTAGCTTGCTTAAAATAAATACTCTTTCCAAATGACCCTCTTAAAATTTTACCTAAAAATTGAACATTCCTTCTGAAAAGTGCCACACTCATACAATAAACCCTTTCATAAATTTTACCTCTACTCTAAATAATCTTCCCTTATACATATATGCAGGAATCAGTCAGCATGAGCAGCTGCCACTGAAATGTGAAGCAGGTTTCCTGTGGGAGTAAAGCCGTTATCTGGCAGCGGTTCAGATCGCAGCCGAGGCGTCGTTCTCTTTGGGCCGCACCCGGGTCACGTGTTCCAGCTGGCCGGCGTCGGACACATCGTAACTCGTCTTGTACTTGGCCAGGATTTTCATCAAGGGACGGAGCTTGAGCCACCACTGCTCCTTCGGGATCCGGTGGCTAAAGAAAGAAAAAGAAGAAACTGAAGGTTTCACTTGAGACAATACTAACAAGAGTAAGAGATTTGTACAAATTCAAGCACAGTAACTTGCAAAAAAAAAATGAAGACGCTTATATTAAAATTCACCATGCTGATAAACAGTTTTCAGAATGTTTTGCAAAGAAATCCCCCCCCCCCCCAAAATCAACTATTCATCCTCCATAACAAAACTTTATCTTGCACTGCAGTTCCAGCTTTCCACATTTTTTTTTGTAAAGTAGCTAAAGCTTTGTCACATTTGATGGAAAGCATCTCGCAAAATTCTGAGACCTTCACAAAACAAATAAAAAAACAAAATGGGTGATAAATCATTCAGGCTTTCAGGGGTTTGAATACTTTGGCAAGGAAATGTTGGTCTCACCTTCAGCACATTACTAGAAGGACATGCAGAGTCTGTGGGGCTAAATTTGGGACAAACTCCTTTTGTTCAGTGTATGGAAGCTGTGATGGGGCTGCAGCTCTAAAACAGCTGCAACATTACAGCTGGCAGTAAAGAGAGCACAGAATATCTGAGTAACCTGAAGGAATGCTACTTCAAACTGAAAACAAGTAATTAAGAGTTTATGAATTGAGACAGTTATAAACGGGAACATCTAGTGTAAAATTATGTTAAATAAATTCAGTTTCTGCTCTGTGGTGAATGTTGTAACAATGTCATCTCCAAACACAGAAGTCAGTTAAGATCTGAAATCTTTACTGACTCAATGATACAAAGCAGGAATCCAACCAGCTTTACCTGTTTGGGTCATTTTGACGCATTGTGGATTAGGGTCAAAATGAATACATTGATTGCTAAGGAGAGCGTACATAGCTGTATTCAGGAAAATGTTCTCCTGCCATCTAAATGAGACAAAACTCAGGCTTTACAGTTGCAAGATATATCTGGGAACTACATGCCAAGATACGTCTTGCATAATTTCATGTAATGGTTCTCTTTTAATCCTAAACATATGTTCTTTTTAAAGTAGATATAGGTCTTTGGACAGCGTGACTGGAAGGATAAAAATAGAATCTCTATCTTACACAAAGTCGGTCTCTTCCCTGAGCTGAGCGACAGGTTGAAAGACCATGGCCCGTCGGCGCATCCCCAGCAGGCAGGCGGTGTCCTCTGAGTTGGTGAACACTCTTCCTGTATATAAGGAGAATGTAAACTTTTACAGCCAAGACAAAACAGTGAAAATCTCCCAAAAACATTAATGTGTAATGAATCCTTCTCAGACTGAAGTTCATAAGCAGGTAGTGTGACGCACCTTCTTTGTATGACTCCTTGAGTGTCCGTGTGATCCACTGTATGGCTTTAGCTGCAACCTTGGTGCCAAAGTTTCTGTCGAAGGGAGACGGAGCGCCGCCCTGTTAAAGGGAAGATAATGGCACCGCATGACGGATTCTACAAGATTTAGTAAAAGAAAATACTACAAAATACTAGAGTACTTTAAAAGATACTTCTATTGACCATTATAAATCAACATTCAAGGGATAATTAAACCAGACTTTATAAGTTTTTACCTGCTGCATGTGACCCAGGATGTTCTTCCTGCAGTCGAACACACCTCGACCTTCTTCAGAGTACAGCTGGTAGATGAAATCAGTGGTGAAGTTTTCGTTGCAATTCTCATTTCTAAAATAAACAACAGAGGCAAAAATGAAAACAGGAAAAAGAAGACATACTTGACGTGAAGAAGATGCCCCACATTGCAATATATTTAGGTATATGATTTAAGAAGCCTGCAGGCATGAAGGCAAATCTGTGGATCAACATTTATGGTCAAATGGACTGAAAAAGTCTGCTTTGCTTTTTGCTTGTTATGACACAGATAACTACAGTCAGGACATATTTCTGAACATCAAATACACAGACAGCTATGGGTTTCACATTGTTCCTTCTAAAGCAATGCAAGTTAAAAATGACGGCTCACGACCAGAGCAGATAGCCTTACTACTTACTCAGTTAATAGCTAAATGAGGAAAAAAAAACATTTCCACATAACACATCAATAGAAGTTGTTATTGTGTTTAATTAGATCAGTTCATCCTGTTTCTAAGTTCATGAAACTGCTGTGTACTGTGTTTTACAGCCTGCAGATACTCTCCATCCATTATTGTTCTGTTTTTAGTGTGCTGTAGTAAATTATTATGCAGGTGCACCCCTCAGCACAGCCTCACAATGTCACCTACGCTCTGTTCAAAATATTACATTTGTCCTATTTCCACAGAGCTTCATCCTGCTGGGAGCATTTTAAACACTGCAGTGGACTAAAATAACCGCAACACACAACATCACAGAAGTCTGAAGGGTCACTTTGAAGGCTGGAAAATAACATAACAGAGTTTTCAACAATGGAAACATTTTCATGACAGTTTAACATTTTCATCTGTTAGTCTCTTCTGTGTTGACGAAAGCTCGACCGACACCAGCAAATTGAAAACACAACAATCTTTCCCAAAATGAATGAAACTCACCGGAGCACCAAGCCTCTCTGGATGCTCGTCTTCATTTTCTGCGTCAGATGCTCGACGTTGGCCTGAAAACAGAGGGAACTTAACGGGAACCTGAGGGAAGAACGCCCGCTGCCTCCAACCTGTACAAGCATCTGCTGCTCTGAGACTCCTCAGTGGGCTCGCTCCACATGACAGAGGCGCAGTGCAACAAAACCACCACCAGAGGGCGACACAACCACGTTTTTAGCAACTGAATGCAGAAGGAGAGATAATGTTAGTTTAGGTATTAAGAGTCCATTAAGGTTCTTCTGTGAAATTTTAATCACTTCTCTACATGAAAGAATATTTAGAAGTCTAAATGTTTTCCAGAAATCAGGAGCAGGATTTAGTATTTAAAGTTTAACATTTATCTACTTTATCAAATTGTAAAAAAAAATATGTTTTAAGGTATTTGCTTATCTTACTTTATTGAAATCATTCATAGGCTATTGTTATTGCATTTTTGTGCAGTACAATGTGACAGTGTGGCTGTTTTAAATGTGAAATGAATGGCATGTTGCTCTGCACACCTTTCCTCCTTCACATCACTGTTTGTTGTTGCTGCTATGTATGCAAGTCTATTTTAGACAATGTTTAAAATTTTACTCCATTTACTCTTCAGCCGCCTCTTTTTATCATCACCGTTCTGTTGTCTGCTTTATATGAAGTCAATATTTCTTATCTGCTTGTAAATCGAGCGTATTGATCATTTAATCAAAACCTTAAAACCTCTTAACTTCACATGGAAACTAATTTTTAATAAATGCCTCAAGCCTCCCACTACTGGTTAGTAAAACATTAGAATATTTTCACTTCAAAAGAAACGATTTGAAAACCAAAAAGTGCGATTTATTAAAATTCTTATCAGTAAATTTAAAGAAAACAAACATCTCGTTTTTGGGACAATGGTAACAACAAACACTGACAGTCCTCCTGTCTCTAATCCTCTAAAGAGATCTGGCTGTTATGGAATGAATGATGCAGCTCCGAGGTTATTTATAAATTCCCTTGTATGCATATTTTTAATCTGGCTCACGTGCAAATTCCTGACACCTCCTGACTGCAGCAGAAGCAAGATGCATGTGAACTAACATCTGATATACCAAGTTGTCATATACCACATGCAATTTACCCAGCAGGTTCATAATTGTTATGCTGCATTAACATGTATTTGAATCTGACCTGCAGGTCACGGATGTCAAACGGCTCCTCGTAGATGTAGACGGTGTCGGCTCCTGCAGCCAGACCGCCCACCGTGGCCAAGTAGCCGCAGTAGCCCCCCATAGTCTCAATGATGAAGACCCGCCGCTTGGTGCCGCTGGCAGACTGCTTGATGCGATCGCATGTCTGATTCACACAGAAGTTACAGTTTAAAAAACATTTCCGACTCTGTTCGGGGATGCAGCTGCAGAGAACGCATTTCAAAAGCAGAGCTGAGACAAGTCAAACCGGATCATTTCAGATACTATAGAACATATGATGGAATTATAATGATCCATTTGGAATCAGAGAAACTTCAAACTGGAGCATAAAATAACAACAAATGGCATAATTGTGACAGATGAAGAGATGACAAAAAACAACTGCAGCTCTGCTTTAGAGTGAATAAAAATCCCTGCAGGGTATTGATATCACAATGATACACAGGTTGACTTCATATGGTGCTGCAGAAATGTTAAAATCATAAGGTTTTTATTCAAGTGTCTGCATAAAAATGAGACAGTAAAGAAAAACAGCAAATATATTCCTTAATTTTGTGACAGAAAATAGTCAATATCAATTAAAAATAAGAATTTAAAACCACCTGATGGTAAATAATCCCAGTCAACTTTGTTATGTTGAAGCACAATTACTTGAATATTTCATTGTTTCTAAAAGGAGTCAATCTTTAAATTCTAAAGGTTAAAGCATATTCAAAGTCAAGCTGTACATAACAGTGAAATCAACCAAATCAGATTCAATTTATCTGAAAACTTCCTTTTGGCAAAATTCAATCCATCAAATCATGCAGATTGCAACACAATAATATGTAGTTACAACTTTTCAAGAAAACACAGATACTCAGTGAAACATGCAGGTTGTGTACTCACAAGCTTCTGTTTGTCCATTGATATTTGAAGTGGTGCTGAGGGGTTCAGCAGACATGTTACCAGCTTAATCTGGGCTTTTCTTATTGAACCCGTAGGTATTTTTGATGCGGTTGTACAAGAAGACCTCAATAATTTTGATTTAAGTTCTATTCGATACACTAAAATGTGCTATTTCTCATTCTTTTTTCTGGACTCATGACCCATTCGTTGTGTTTCTGTTTTTGGGCCTTACCTCCACAATGGCGTTGAGCGACGTGTCGGCTCCCAGACTGTGGTCAGTGCCCGGCACATTGTTACTAATGGTGGCAGGCAGTATGCACATGGGAATGCAAAACTCCAGGTAGTTGGCCCGGGCCTCGTACAGCTCCAGCAGGGACTCAAAAGCCTGATGGTGGTGGCCCGTAATATGCAGTTAGACCACTAGGGGGGGAACTTACAGCTCTACATGTCTTTACCAACTGATCATAAAGACAGAGTGTTGCCCTCATCCTGTATCCTTCTTTTCTGTCAAAATATGTTGGGTCTAAACTCAACTCTGTTTTGCTAAACACAATTTTATGTTTTATACGAAATAGAAAGCAATAGAAAATGAAGGATACATGAATGGGGCAGCCTTTTACTTTTACTGGAACCATGAACATTCAGCTCTGTAATGGGTGGGCTGCTTAGCTCGCTCTCTCCAGGACGTCAGGGATGGGCTTTGGCTTCTCATTGGCTGCGAGGGGACAGAGCAGGGTGCAGGAGTGAGGTCATCGCAGTGACAAGTCACGGTGTTGACGCGCAGAGATAAAGGCCGAGGTGGGACTGCAGAGGATCTGACTCCATTTATGTCCATCCAGCAAAGAGTCTCGAAACAAAACGCACCAGCAGGCTTGACTTTAACGAGGAACTTATAGTCTGTGTCGTTTGGAGGAGAAATAAGCTGAGTCGGAGCGCTGCCCACTTACCGAGTGTGTATCAGCACACAAACAGCAAACTGCACTGACACGACACACTCAGACAACAAGGACTATGGTGCAAACATGCAACAAGTCACTGCATGCTCTGACTTACCTGGCACCTCTGCAGACCAACTCACCTCCAACAACCAACAGCAGAAACATGTTTCTGACTCATCAGCTCCTTTCAGGGACAATTCAACTCATCAGGTGTGTTGAGAGAACTACAGACTGTATGACGTTTATTTTTTATTTATATCTACTGTACTATGTTTATCCATCACTGTTATTGGATGGTTTTTGCTCTGTGAGAGTAGATGTATTATGATTTTTCCTCCAAAGTCAGCCAAGGTTAAGCAGCTAAAGCTAAAGGCTAAAGGTCAAGCAGAAGGTCGACGGTGTTTACTGTATACAGGAGAGCAAAACATCACAACAGAATAAAACTTAACACACTGACTGCATCTGTGATCCGTATATCAAGTAGCAAAAACTAGACGTAATAACTTGGCTCTACTAAATAATTCATGCTTAATAACTTCTGGTCGAGTACGTCTCGCTGGATGAGAGATGGATCTTTAACTAATTTAAGCTCATCATAATACGTGGTTCACACAGTATTCAAAAAAACAGATTTTAAAATTACCATAACACTGAATGCCAAATATACTGATTGTAGATGTTCACATAGTTTAGTTTAGTTTCATTTAAACCTCTTTACAGACTCATAGTACGTTCGTATTGTTTTATCTGCCTCAAATAAGCGCCGTGGTAACAATGTTTCTATTGAACCTGCATTTAGCAAAGCAGCTAACAAACAATGGCTTACACATTTAAAAGGTCACTCCAGAATAAATGTTGTGATTTGTTGTATTATTTTGGGTGAACCATAACAAAAGTGTGGATATGTTTTAAACCTTGGTGCAAAAAGCTCCAACTTATAGGAAGAACCTTGATAACTGAAGGAGATTCAAGATCAGCTATCAATGAAATGTATTGATATGAACTGTTTTTGGACTGAATTGGATATATCTCAATGTGTCTTGAAGAAAGCCATATTGTTCAGTTGCATGAGTTTTCTCTGATACTAGAGCTCTAATAATAATAAAAACACTTCAGTTTTCACTTCCTGATGTTGATTCTCGGAAGCGAGCTGGTAGTCAGAAGAGTCCCAAACTCTGATCGACGGGACGCCCTTTGACTGACATCCACAAACACTCGCATGCGCTCAACGCAGCCACACTTACGTCAGTAATGGCATTCAGAGCTGTGTCTGAGCCAATGCTGAGATCTGAACCGGGTATGTTATTGGAGACTGTGGCTGGGATCATAACCATGGGCACGCAGAACTCGGCGTATTTGTCCCGTGCCGAGGAGAGTTCCAGTAATCCAACGTATGCCTGCAGCGTGGAGAGCCAGCATCTTATTGGTTGGGATCAGGACATGAATGGCAGAGAAGTGAGGCGTAACGTGGAGATATTAATGTAGCAGAATGAGAACAAGGATACAGAAAAGCTTTTAGGTAATAAAAAGTCCAGGAAGAAGCTGCAACAGCAATAAGATCCAAAGGAAGATCGTCATTAGCTTAACTGTTTGGTTCAATTATAAATTCTTCTTTTTAGGATACAAAAGTCTGTGAAGTTTAAAAGGAGGGAATGCTAACAGAAAGATTTTAATAAGTTTTGGGTCCAAACATATCTTTAATAAGATATCGTCTGATCTGTAATGTGAAAATTGAGTGGGGAGACAAAACTCATGCTGAATGTGGCTTGTATCCAAGCAGGGAGGCGGGGAGGCGGTATGATGCAGGACGGGGGGCTGCTGATGGGAGAAATGCGGTGGGAAAATTACAGGCACTCTTGGGAAAAACAAAGTTCAGCGGACGAGTGCAGTGGAGGGAGAAGCCAAAGGGAGAGAGCCAAGCCAATCACTGCAGGCACCAGACATGCACAGGAAGCTGATGTTGCTTGTTGCACAAAAAAGATACAAAGATGAAAAAAATTAGCTTTTTCTTTATTGGCAAAGCTGCACTGATCTGTCAGGGGACACCTGGAAATAGTTTATCCATTATCTCATGCAATCAATAATAACTATGATTATTGGAGCAAAAGATTGGCAGTGCTATGCACAACAGCTGTTGCAGCTTTGTCAATAAATAATACACATACAGTACTGTGCAAAAGTTTTAAACCAAACTTAATTTCTTTAGAAGATGCTTCTGAGGCACCAAAATTTCTGAAAATGACTTGATATCATTTCATTACTTTGCACAGTCCTGTGTTTAAAATAAAGCCTGAAACAATTCCTTATGCATCAATTAGTGTTATGCTTAAAAAGTTAAAAAGCCAAGTCATGGTTTTTACCAGCTGAAATGTTAAATAGAGAAAGCTAGTGAAAGCAAAAAAAAACTCCAACAGACTTTAAATAAAGAACAGGTCACCAATGGATCTAAAGAGCATACAAACACCGTTTAAAATGCCAGGCTTTCAAAATCTGCTCAATGTCACACTACAGAAATTTAAAAAAAAGTAAAATAAAAAACTAATTTGTTGAACTGAAATGCCTGTCAGTTTAGCAGTGATGATCACACTTTAAGATCCACTGTAAAATACAAGACAGCAGCAGTGGAAACAGGTTACAATGATTAAAATGAGCAAAATCAATAACTGATCAATCATAACAGAGCATGAATATAAAACAGCAGAATTAAATTCTAAAAGTTTTAGCAATACTTTTTGTTATATTTAAAAATATTAAAATAAATACTGAAGTTTAAATAAAAAAAGATAACTGTCTAATAAATAAAAAATTGACATACCTCAAATCCACCTATAACAAGTAAAGCAGTGATGTTATGGATCCTCATCTGCTCAGCAATTGCATCCAGATGTTTTGCTGGAAGAGTTCTTAATGGGGAATAGAGACAATCTGCTATATTTACAACTTTGTTTTATAGGAAATAATTTTTGTGTGTGTGTGTTTCTGTTCTCACCTTTTTGTCCCCAGCAGAGATCCTCCTTGGCCAGTCCAACCTCCCACATCTCCCCATTTGATCTCCTTGATCTGAGAAGAATAAAACATAAAGCCGCTGAGGTGCTTCTAAAAGACTGCAAAGGAGCTACAGAGAAAAATGTCATGATTACATCAACACAAGATTCCCTTTTAACAGTTCCCAACTAGCAGACAAAGTGTTGAGGCTGTTCATGAGGTGTGAGGTTTTAACAAAGATACTTGCTTTTTCAAAGCAAAAAACTGCAGGGATACATATTTATTTAGATTTGTTATATGATAGAAAAGACAAATATTAGTAAGCTAGAGCAACATTTACTAATAAGGTTATGAAAAGATTATTTTTTATTGCTATTATTATATTTAAAAGCAACAAAGTAAAGAGAGTGGCTCATTTTTTTCCCCTTTACTCTTTTCATATCGCATGAATGCAAGCAGAGTTTTATCAAACAAGCTGCTCTTCACTGCAGTCTGTGTCCTATTTAGAAGAGCTTTTACTCAGGGATCACTGCTTCATGTCTCAGTCATGTCTAATCTTCCTCTGTGACCACCCACCTGGGAGAGTAATCACTTCCCACAGGTCACCACAGCTCTGCTGGAATATCCAAACACGTGTGTGTGTGTGTGTGTGTGTGTGTGTGGTGTGTGTGTGTGTGTGTGGGTGTGTGTGTTTGTGCGTATGTGGGTGTACGAGCAAGTGTTTGCCAGCGGTCAGCAGAGCATGCTGCAGACCGCTTCTTTGCATGAATGGAATTGCTGCTGGGGAAGGTTCAGTAATTGCCTTACTGTAAGCAGCATTGTTTACAGGACGCTGTTGTTGTCACTGTGGTCATTAGGGCTCAGAGGAAGCGGTTAGTGATGGTCCTACATCTGGGCTCAGTCCGTTTATCAGGCTGCACGCAGACTGAATGTTAGTATCCTGCTTGTCATGTCAAGCAGGATACTAACATTAAATTTTGTCTTGTTTCTTTTTATGACACAACATAACTTTTATTCATTTGTCATAAAGAACTTATTGCCTGCATGCTATGAGTGGTAAACTACCCTTGTCACATCTGCTGACAGTATCAGTGGGTAGAGAATATTTTTTTTATTATCAGATGTTTAGATTGTCCTTAAAAATGATTACATTTAAACTATTAAATAAATGATGCCACATGAAAGTAATAAATCCACTCAAAGCATGGTGTTAAATAAACACCACTGATCCCTGTAGGCATGAACTATTCGGAGCAGGAGCGCATCAAACTATATTCAAGAGCATTCTTTTCTTTTCTCCTGTTTTCTTACATTTACATCCAGTGAGATTCCAATTTTAGTAACTGTGTCGATTCATCTAGATATGCTGACACTTTCTCAAAAGCTGTCGTCTTTCTGCAGCACAATCAAAAGTTTCACCTGCGGCGTAAACAACTGCACCGTCACCGTATGCCTGAAGCTGATGATAGGAAACTCCTCTATGAATAACAATTAAACTGAAAAGAGTAGGAGCTAAAAACTGTTCCATGTGGAATTTCTCAAAATTCAATTTTTGGAGATAAAGATTTTATATGTATTATCAGTTACAACACACAATTTGTCTTCCAGATATAAATCAAATCATGAGAATGATTTCTTAGTAAAATTACATTTTGAGAAAAAAAAAATGCTTTCTTCCATTTTGAAAGCAAATCATCTATTTTCTTAAACAAGTGGTGGTTTAAGGATCTCTGACAAGAGGAAGGTTCTTTTAAAAGCCTTTGTTTTAATAGTTTTATCTATTAAGAAAATATAGAGTTCAATGAAATACTGGTGCATCCTTTGAGTTTGGCAGCCATTTTTGGCCTGTACAATTTTTATAATTGGACAAAGAAAAAAGTTTAACTTTTTTGTCTGTTTGTGTGTTTGTGGTGACTCACCTGTCCTTTATAGAAGCCCTCAAAGCCGTCGTTGACAGCAAACATTTTGTGGCCTTCTGTGATTCCCACCCTGACGGCAGAACGCACGGCGGCATTCATACCGGCCGCCGGAGCGCCGACGTTCATCACCGCCACGTTGAAGGAGCTCTGAGGATAGTGGAGGGCAGATATTTCACACAAAACCATGAAAGGTGCTAAATATGCAGTAGATGAAGCAGAATCTGGCTGCTCTGCGAACGTTAAGGGCGTATGTTCTAACCCCGACTTTTAGTCACCTAATGCGTGAATTTCACATTGAGTGTTTGAACATAGCATATGTGAACCTCAGCATTAAAAATGAGGAAATGAAATAGTTTCTGCAATGACAACCTTACATGCAAGAAGCCACATGCTTCTAGAAATGCAGAGAAGCAGCAACTTTTGTTTTCTCATGACAGCCACAGAAAACATCAGCAGCCATGAGCATTAAGAATCTGCTGGCCACTCAGGACCAATAACACGTTCAAGATGTCAGAACCTCAAAAAGAAGACTTTCAGAACTTCTGCTGATAAAGAAACTAAACTTACATTTTATTGAAAATTGACTAATAAGTAATTCCTGACTGTGAAAAAAAAACAATCAAAAACTGTCAAACGTCTGAAACATTGGAACAAAAAAAGTTATATTTTCAGAATCATTTTTATGTAATTTACATTTTCATCTGAAATGTTTAAGGAACAGCATCAAATTCATATAGATATTAAAGTTGTCTCTTTAATTCAGCTTAAGCTAAGCTCTAAAACACAAATGTCTGTCATGCACTTAAAAACTCCAGCATAATTTTGAGTTATGCGTAATGTTACCAGCATCTTTCTCTTCAGACTCAATGCTTATTTTTTATACTTATATGAATTATAGAAGCCATTACTTGTGGGACTATGCTTCAGAATCAATGCATCTCTATATAAGCAATTCTACAACAAAGCAGAACCATGAAAAAGTAAGAAAAGATGGACAGAGCAACTAGTGGGAGCACCGACCCTTTTGTGGCACTCTGTTACCATGACAAAGTGAAAATATGAATTTAAAGAGATTTATTTCAGACATGAATACGCAAAATGTTTTCATTTTTTGTCAGCATGGTAATTGGAAGCCGGCAGCTTGATTAGGAGTCTCAGCTAACTAGCCTAAAACTAATGGTGCGAACTACTCCTGCACAAGCTGCAGAAGCCGACCCATCACATACATGAGATTGCTCTTCATCCTCTGCCTCCTTCTCTTCCTCTCCCTCAAGTCAGTCAGAAAAACAGAGACTCTGTTAGTGTCACAAAAAGACTGCAGCACCCAGGATGCACCTGACCAGGCGGTACCTTATGCTAATGTACAAATCTCACAGCAGCTGTTGGAAAAGATGCATCATTGAAATTAAAACAATGGATTTCTGGTTTGTTTGTATTCTTCATGTTTAGTTGTTTTTGTTTGCAGTGGCGCTTACATTTTGGAGTTCAGAGCGAGCCGTTTGAGAAGCAAGCAGTCTGTAGGTGCTCAGATTATTTTCAAAGCTCCTGCACATTGAAAATAGAGTTAAAGTTTTTAGTTAGCACAAATCCATTACATACCTTGCTTTGCAATTTCTTTGCAGATGACTTATTTGCACATTTCATGAGTTTTGTCTCGGACCTACCTGCCGCGCAGTCTGACCGCCTCATCAAATTTCTTCTCATCCATGGCCTTCTGTACCTCTTGAGTCTGATGGCAAAACAGAAGAGCTGCTTTACTGAAACACAAATGCATTCAGCATGTAGCCGGTCTTCTCTTTGAGCACGTCTGTTGGTAACTACTGATATATGGTGAGAAAAGTTCAGTGAAATAGGAACCACCTGGGGATAATTTCAGAAAATAACTGTCAAAAAAGTTATTTTTCATTTTGATTTCTCTTACAAAACACAGGGAAATTGTGGGTAACCTTGTCCTGAGTGACAGTGTGCTATCAGATCAATAAACCTCCACCTACTTACCTTGATTCACCATGGCAACTACATCAAGATAATACATGGAGAGAATTTTCATCAAAGCAAAGTTAATAAAACTGGGGCACTTAGGAGGAAAAGGTGCAATGGGGTAAAACTAAAACTCTCCTTGTCGTCAGTCAAAAGAAAAAAGTAATAAGATCAGTCGTACTTTGTAAGCATTGCTGCTTCTTTCACAATTCATTAGTGAAGTTATCTGTTCTGCCTTTCATGAGTTACTAATTAAGACTGCCATGTTCTGAGTATATGTGAGGTTTCTGAATTGCAAAAACCAGAGGAGTAGACTGAAACTCTGCAGGGTTGATATGGAGGGCTAACGGTGATAATGAGTGTATTCCCTCTTGAAGGGTGACACATATCCACTGCATGGCACTTTATCAAATACATAACTGTCGTCTGAACATCAGTGGTCTGTTCTGTCATGGCACACCTGGTGGTTCAGTCTTCTACCTCACACTCGTCCTTTTAGAAACAGGGTGAGATGATAACAAGCAGTCTGAATCACTGCTTAAAGTTTTGAGAAATTGGTCATTGAGTCTGATGATGCACATGATACACACCAGCCAACTCTCCATACATTTGAGGTCATAAACATAAACAAGCAAACTTACCATCTGAACACACTCCATAAGCGGTAGTCGAACAGCCTGGTTGCCAACGAGAGACACAACACAGGCAGGCGTGTCGGTGGACGCCTCCAGTAACGCCAACACTGCCTCCACGCCCATTCGACTGGCCTGGAAATTCATTTCAGCAGGCGTTTACCAAGCCATCTCCATAAAAGTGAAACAAATGGGATTGTAATTGACTTATGATGACTTACCAAAATCCTGTCAAAGGCAGATGGAGTCCCACCTCTCTGTACATGGCCCAAGATAGTGACCCTGGTGTCAAAACCCAGGCAGCTCACGACCAGCTTTCGACAGAGACATCACAGATTGACAGAAGGTAACAGAATGGCTTTTAAAATTAATATATTCTGCCTCCGATTAGTTTGATATTTGTAAGACTCGATCGCTTCTTGAAATGAAACAGACTTGGGGAAAAAAAACAAAAAAGTAACAGAGGAGAAATCATGCAAAACATTTCCTGTCATGTTGGTGTGTGCCAAAAAATGGACATGCAAGGTCAACTTTCCAGGAAGTTGAGCGGAAACAAAAAATGATGCAGGAACGGAATAAAAAAAAGGAAAATTAAATTGTGAATATTTTTTTTTAGAAATTACCACATGTGAAGCATGAAATGTGGTAATTGTTTCCACCGAGAGGAAACCAAAACCATAAAGAGAAGAAAAAACTCATGCTTATGAAGGAGAATTCGAGCATCCACCAGACGACGAGACTTCGCGACCATACTTACGTCCTTGATATAATCAGGGGTTATTGCCTTGTTGTGGCAATCAATGGCACCCTCAGCTACAATAATAATGTTCAGCCTTTTCTTATCAGCACGGTTCTAGAGAAATATGAAAAGCACAAGTATTTGAAAGCATGACAGAAAACGTTTTGCAGTGACACAAGCTGGATCAAACAATGGAGGATGAACTCAGGACAAAATCAAAGGAAACTTCCGACTTGTTGCTTATTGTCCTCTGTACTTTGCCATATTCCTGGCAGTGTGACAAGCAACTCGACCAAACTGAGATTATTTACATCAATTCTTGAGAACCATCCATTTCCACTTAGTGTTCCAGCTGTTGGTTCTCCTCTGCATCAGTCTGAGACTGAGCTTTACTCACTTTCTTCACTAAATCAGAGGAAATGTGTTGTCCTTGTCTGTCAAGGGCTCCTTCAGCAACTATGATAATGTTCAACCTGGAACCTCGAGATCGACTCTGGACAATAGCAAAAGCACAATGAAGTATGTTGGAAAGTAATAACATCACAATGCATGGACCGCTGTGTTCAAACCGCCCAGTTTGAATTTACAAGAGCTTTGGTTAAAAATTTGTGCATTATTCCTATAATAATAGATGTTGCAGTGAAAAATTCTTGATGAAAGAAACATTTCATGATATCTTCTTGAGACTATGCTATCTCAGAGTTGACCTGCTTTTTCATTTCTAGCCACGATTGGATTTAATTGCTCCCTTGTCTGTGTTTAGTGCAGTGACTGATTCCTTAAATATTAACAGGTAAGTCCAATGCCATTCATTTTCTTAGCGCTTACTGACTGTGTGCCCAAAAGAGTGGTGATAAAGAAGACTTCCAGGAGTTTTATGCATTTGTATTGAAAACATATTCTATGATGATTGGTCTTTAAAAAAATAAAGCACAGAGGTTACCTCAGACAGTTTCTGACACATGTTGTCTTCCCAGCCATCTTCAGGAGGCATCTCTGGAATGAAAACCCAATCTGCTCCACATGCCAGGGCACTGACTAGAGCAAGGTATCTAAACACACATATAGACATCCATATTATTTTGATGTAAGATGGACTTTGGCCTGAGATGCAATTATTAAAAACATAGGCAGCCAAATTGGCACCATAACATCATATATCTTAGAGCAACCTTAATAAAGAAAACGATGAGCCTCCAAAACTTGCAACATGTTTTTAAGAGTTTACATTTAGAATTTTTTTCAGTAATGTATAATTCATACATTCATCATGAATTCATTTACCCGCAGTGTCTGCCCATGACTTCCAGCACAAATGTCCTCTGGTGACTGGAAAACAATGAAAACAAACAGTTCTATCAATTTATGGAGTTACTCATACCTTCTGGTCATTTTGCAACCATGAAGGGATATACTCACCTCTGAGCTGTAGTCATGATAGCATCCACCACCTCAATGATCCGATGCAAGGCTGAGTCAGTGCCAATGGTCATGTCTGTGCCACAGAAGTCGTTGTCGATAGAGCCAACCATACCGACAATGTGAAGCTGAGAATGACTTCTGGCTGCCTTTTCATCTATGAGCCCTGCACACAAAGAAAGGACAAAGAGTTTAAGTATGTAAAGCTGAAGCACAGAAATTCAGAATTTAAGTTGAACAATCACCTTGCTCTGTGAGTTCATTCAAAAGGCCACTCCACTCTTCTCTGAACAGATTGGCTCCGGTCAAGCTGCCGTCTCCACCAATCACACACAGGTAAGTGATGCCCCGCTGAACGAGGTTGTGAGCAGCTTTTAGTCGCCCCTCACGGGAACGAAACTCTTTACACCGGGCACTGCCAATGACGGTGCCACCCTAAAGACAGAGACGATTATAGCAATTACAAGACATTGGAATACAAACATCGGATGTTTTTGAAACCCATGCAACACATGACAGGAGGCTCTGTGGCACAATGGATAGCGCATTGGACTTCTAGACAGACTGAGGTTATTCAAAGGTTGTGGGTTCGAGTCCCACCAGAGTCACTGCATACTTTTTTTTTAGAAAAATGGAAAATCATTCTATATTAGACATACTATGGTGAAAAAGCACAACAGTATTTGACTACCATAGAGGCTGTACATAGCTGAAAGCCTGCTGTTGGGGAAAACCGTGCTTTACATGTTTAAGGTTTTTTTTTACACCGGCACATACATGGTTAAAGGCTCTGTGGCGCAATGGATAGCGCATTGGACTTCTAGGCAGAATGAAGGCATTCAAAGGTTGTGGGTTCGAGTCCCACCACAGTCAGATTTTATCAGAAGGAAAGCCATTCTCCTTTAAATGCATAATAGTGAAGATAAACGTCAGGAAAGTCAACTATCAAAAAAACTCCCAAAAATGTTATGCACAGCCAAAAACCTATTGATGGAAGAATCCTTTCCAATGTTTAAAAAGTGCACACGACCCACTAACGGGATAATATTCCTTCAAGAAATATGTTATTAAAATTGACTCTGCTGCATTTTTCTTGTATTCTGCCATATAATAATTGTTTGACCATTTTCAAGTAGCAATGAAAAGGCTAATGTTCAAATATTCGAATAGTGTCAACTAGCTAGTTGATATTTCTGCAAGACATTGGAATACAAACATAGGATGTTTTTGAAACCCATGCAACACATAAAAGGAGGCTCTGTGGCACAATGGATAGCGCATTGGACTTCTAGACAGACTGAGGTTATTCAAAGATTGTGGGTTCGAGTCCCACCAGAGTCATTGTGTATTTTATATATATATATAAGCTTTTGATTTTAGAAAAAATGGAAAATCATTCCATATTAGACATATTATGGTGAAAAAGCACAACAGTATTCAACTACCATAGAGGCTGTACGTAGCTGAAAGCCTGCTGTTGGGGAAAACCGTGCTTTACATGTGTAAGGGTTTTTTTTTACACAAGCACATACATGGTTAAAGGCTCTGTGGCTCAATGGATAGCACATTGGACTTCTAGGCAGACTGAGGGCATTCAAAGGTTGTGGGTTCGAGTCCCACCAGAGTCAGCTTTTATCAGAAGGAAAGCCATTCTCCTTTAAATGCTTAATAGTGAAGATAAACAATAAGAAAGTCAACTCCCAAAGAAGCTACGCACAGCCAAAAATCTCTTGGTGGAAGAATCAAGGACCATAATTTACAGTAGAATAAGGGAACATGAAGAGCGTGTGAGCAGAAACTTCAACAGCAGGTTGTGCTCACCACTTGCAGAACACTGGAGACACTTTCCCACGTCGCCTCTTTGATGTAATCTCCACCGTCTACCATCCCCTGATACCCCTGAGATGAAAAACCAACACAAAGGCAAGAAATCATTCACTTCTTAATTTAAAAAGAAAATCCACATTTTGAAGCAATAAGTGAATCACAATCCTATTTATACAGGAATGATTCTAATATTATCTGCAATTAATTGTGAGTAATCCATGTATTATCAACACATTAGAAGATGGAGCTAAATAACATGCAAGCTTCATAAAATGTATATGATGTATATATGCACTATGCTTGAAGCTTGAGTCATGCTGGTCCCTGATTCCCAGTGACAGCCCAGTACAGATGAGCTGTCAGCACAGATTTAGTGTAGCTGAGAGAGGCAGGTACTGCAGACTCTCCATCGTCATGTCTGGACTCTGAGTCATTCTCACCTCGTGAATAAAGTAGACTTTGGCTCCCACATAAATCCCCATTCGGACTACAGCCCGAACGGCTCCATTCATGCCTGGGAACAAAGAGAAAATTAGAGCCTTTTCAAGCATTTTCAGAAAGTTGATTATTGCTACAGACATAAAATTGGTGCTATGTGATAAACAGTAAGCTCATGGGTCACAAAAGAGTCTCTTGCTTGTTTTTCCCAAAACAACCAAGAGAGACTGAATCCAGAAGGTACTTTATTGAACATATTTGTTTATATTGAAGAGCTAAAAGTTCTTAAAAAGCGCTCTGGTTCAAACACACTGCATAAATAAAGTCCCACAACTCCATAACTCTCTTGATTCAAGAAGAGCTGGAGTGTGGTGAAAAAAATCTTCAGACCTCTGAAGATATACATACAACATTCTATAACCACAAACCTCAGGGGTGCGAGGTTTTATCTGATAAAACCTCATTCCGACACATGACCAGGAAGGCCAGATCTGCAGATGTAAAGCTAACAGATTTTCCACCTGAGTGCCTGGCAGCTCCTCCAGTGCCAGCATGCACTCTTTAACTCCTTCCCTGATTAACTCTTTCCATGACCTGTCAAGTTCAGTTTATAGATCTCCTTTTGTATCCTACTAGTTTCACATGCTGAATTAAACAGGAAGCTGTGATTTGTTTCAAGCTTAGAAGATTATTTTAAAAGCTGCGAGATCAGCTATTTTAAAAGCTGATCTCGCACTGCTCTCTATTTTTTAACTATTTAGTGGGTTTTTTTCAGTCTTAATGGAATGATTTATTTGTTCCCCACAACTATGTGCTAATTCTGTTGGTCTACCTCATAAAATCTCTGTTAAACACTGACTTGTAATGTGACAAAATGTGAAAAGGTTTAATGAATTTTGTTTACAACACTTGTATTCATTTTAAATTAACTTTTACAGATTTTCATAATGTCATTATAATAACCAAGTAGTGAAAATCTGACACAGCCTCGGTTACCTATCTACCCAGTGACCTCAGTGTCCTGCTCTTTAAATGAGCTGAAACCAGCAGCATAAACAGGGAGGGGCAAGATGAAGGCTGGGGGAAAGGAGGTCAAAACAGAGTGAAGCTGAGACACAGAGAGCCGGAGAACCGGAGAGCCCAGAGAATGTTGTGCCAAGTCTGGAAAAAGCCTGTCAGAGCACTTAGTGCAATTAGACAAGAGGCAGGCTTTAAATCTCAGACTACGTCTGGGATCACAGAGCTGCTGTTGCTTTACATTAACAGGTTGATCAGAACATACCGGCCTGTTTATGTGTTAGCTGGTGGATGGTCTGTTTCTGAGGTAAACGTGGATTAAAGGCAGGATTTTAGGTTTGCATTGTTCCTCAGACTCAGAGATGAAGGTCCTCTGGCAATCCAAAGGTTGTGGGTTTGATTCCAGTTTTCTCTTGCCACTTATAGATTTGTGTTAAAAGCAACTCAAGCTTTTAGTCCCGATTTTCCTACCAATCTATGTATTGGTATCTGTTGGGTGGATGTGGGTCATTATGACTGGAAAAGTGCAACATAAACTGTTTTTCCCCAACAAAAAAGAATAAAAACATGTTTTCTAATCATAGCATAAATGTAATTTATAATCACACATTAAGGTGTACTTTTTTTGTGCAAAGATTAAAAAGCACTTTTTAATGCAGTTGCACAATTTACAATGTTTGATTTAAGTATGTTTATTCAGTGAGGAAAAAGTAAAATGTTAAAAATAATTATTCTCATGGCCCTAAGCTCTGTTGTCCAGTGGAGTATTTCCTGTGCTGGTGCTAAATGTTGCTGTGACCCTTTGACCTTACAATATTCTGTGGTGAAGCAACTGCAGAACATGTTGTTCATACACAGCGTTCAGCTGCGCAGAGCATCCCCCCATAGCACCGAGTGACATTTATCTCAGTGCACAATAACAGACTTCCTGCAGCCAACCATATATTTCCTAGTAAGCTGAATGTTTTTGTTTTTGCTATTACACTTTTTAGATTTGTAAAAGATAATGCAATTGAAAGAAAAAAAACACTTCTTGTAAAAAAGAGTGTTTAAATTATGGGATTAATTAGGGAAAAAAATCGATTTCGATTTTTTTCCCTGTTTTATTTTGGAGATTTTTTCTACATTGTCTTGTCTTTCTTCCCGTTTCATTTGTGAAGCATGTTCCTTGAATAACCTCTGACCTTTGACATCTGGTCATTGTTTGCTAAGGTCTTGTTAATCCGGCGCTTCCTGTTGTGCTCGTACCCGGCTTCCTTTGGTTCACCATCAGGTTTACCATGTTGGAAATAGAAGAGGCAAGAATATCTACAGGAAGACTTCTGGCTTAAATATGATTGAAAAGCTGTGAGGGTTGATTACCAGGTGTAACACAGTTGAGAAGGGTACAATATGTTTTAGGTAGATGGGCCAATAGGTTCGGCTGTCGGAGCACGATGGGTGTTTAAATGACACACATACACAGTTGAGTGAATTTAAAAAACAATTAGCTTTAGTAACATGAATCATAAACTCACAAGTGGACAAGACATACAATTAAGAAAATAAAATTACACACAATAAAATACATGAAATAAAAACAACAATACTTGGCCAAATGCTAAATATCAAATTTAAATCTATTGGGTGCACCCTGGTAGTTTGCGCTACCAGGGTGCTGTGAGTGACGTCTTCAGGGGTTTTTGTTCTAAGTACATCTGCTAAGTTCATCATAATATTTTACATAACAGCAAACACGGTGAATAAAACAGAAAAGCTGCGCTCTAAATGTTTTTCACAAGTTTTCAATAATGTGCTCCAAAGGATGGGAATATTTTGGTCAAGCTGAGGATGTGAAGAGATTTAAGGATTTTGGGAAGAAGTGCAACAGAAAACAAACATGATGAGGTGAAGCGATTAAAAAAAACACCTTCAGTGAGTTTTTAGAGTCCAGGCAGGTTTTTGTTTGCAACGTTTTTCTCTGAATGTAATATTTATATTAACTTTTTAGAGATTTTGAACTGATTAACCTGTATGTATGAAGAAGTTGTGCAGCTGACTAAATTAACCTCATTGACCTTTAACCAGATTTAATTTTATGTGGATAACAATAATATCTAAATTTGTGAAATTCAACTCTTTGTGCTCAAACGTAATAAATAAAATTATAAACACAAGTCATAAGTAAGTTATGTAAAAACAATGTATTCTCCAATATTATATTATGAGAAAAAGGTTCAAGAGGAACTGATTATTTTTCAATTGGAGATTATTTTATTTCCAGCCAGTCTCATAGTTGACGTTCTGAATACTTTGGTATTTTGATTTGTAAACACACCAGCACTAACATCCCATCCCTTCTCTGGCTCTGTGGCTCCTGTCCGCACCGAGTGTGTGGGATGTGACAACTCACCGGATGGTGACCTCATTCTTTACTCTGCTCAAAAGCATCATCACAAGAGCTCATTCACTAAACTTGGCAGAGAAAAGGGGGTCCCAAGCAGAATCCCACAACACTAGAATGAATCAGTGTGCGTATTTTCACCGTTCACCTCAGACACGGATACAGAAACTTATGGATGCTGTTTTAGATGCAATCTGAAATTTGCTAAAGCAAGACGAGCTATTTGAGACCATAAATTTTAAAATGACTGAATTCAAAACAAACCATGTGTGAAAAGAAGCTGCACAATGCTTTATAATGAACTGTGTTAAAAAAAGCGAAATAACCATTTTCAAAGATTTTTGTGGCATTTTATGAAGAAGTGTATGTATTTAAAATATGTTCATTTTAAATACTTGATTTGATTTATATTCAAATCTGATTCACAACTGAATACAGGTCACATGGTCATGTTTGGATATAAATTATTTTATTAATTCTGGTCATTTGTTTGAATTAACCTGCTGGAACGTAAACGTCCTCTTCAAGTCTTTTGCAGCTTATAAACCCATAGAGAATAATAAGGGCCAAGATGCAGTAACAAATACAACATCCCTTACATCTTAATGATGTCCGCCCCGAACCATACAGTGATATTTGATTTAGATGGATTATAATCATGCAGAAAGCTTATGCATGCAGAGCATTTATACAGTGACATCCAGACTACAAACACTAGATCCCCGGTAGTTTTTGCTCAGAACTTCAGACGCAGACCGACGTCAGTGCTCCCAGATGAGTCTGACTCTGCATCACTTTCACTCTGGCTGCCCAGTTTTAAAGGTGCAGCTATAATTAAATCTCAGCTGCTGCCACAAGAAGCCTGTCCTAAATACAAAGGCTGTCCACGATGTACAGCAGGGGCTCTGACAACTGAGAAAGAGCATATCCCTGCACACTCCCAGCAGCCTATAGGCACACAGTGTTGTGTAACAGCCAACAATAGCACTGGTTTAACTGGTGCATGTGTGTGTCCTACATGGTAAAGTACAACATGCTCTATGCATAGGGAGAGCCAATCAGTAATGAGGTTAAAGGTGCATTCTGTGCAGGCTGCAGAGATGCAGTTAGACCACTGACTACAAAAAAATCATCCAAAAGTTGCCTTTCAATGGCAACCATTATTATACTAATTCAAAAGCTGTTGTTTAGGTACCACTAATGTTATTTTAGCTCTACAAATTCATAATTCAGTCTTTCCATCATCTCTGTAAATACTCGCTGCTCCTCACGTAGCCTGCTTGACCTTCAGGGACAGCAGACGTTAAGTCGCCGAAGGTCACCGGAAGTTGATTCCAAACTCTTTCCAAATAAAAAGGTAAAGCTCTACCAGCAACACTGAGCCGCTTAAATTTGAAAAGCTGCACCGGATGTAGATAGTTGCGTTCATATAAATTGATGTTGGTTCAGTCGTGACTCAGATTCCGTGATGCGGGAGGAATTATCTCTGAGGCAAAAAATAAATAAATAAACAGCTGAAATACACACCATAACATTTCATAACTTTTATATACATAAGAAATATATGTGACTAATACATATTCAAAAATACATAGCTCAAAAAATCTACATAAAATTCTTCAGGAACAAGTTGGAGTAGTTAACTCTAGTCATGTGGGGTTCCGTTGCTGCACCGACTTGTGGAAACTGCAGATAATTAAGGCTCTGAAATGCCGATCAGGTTAGTGACGCCGCCATGCCCCCCCCCGGGGAGTGCGCGCTCAGGTCTGCGCCATCTGTGCATACATGCATGACGTTGCATATTTAGAACACCTCGCATTAAAGAGATACGAGTTATTCAGTCACCTGTTGATACTCTGCTCGCTTCTGAATGCATGCACGAGCCTTGAGTCACGCGCTGGAGGTGTTTCTGGCAGACTGAGAGTCTTTATGAAAACTTGAAACATTTCCCTCTGCAAAGATGGTGCAGCATCCCCGCAGAAAGCAGAGGCGCCGGGGGCTGAGCGCAGGCTGTTGCGTAACAGTCCGGAAGACTCAAGAGCACGCACTTAAATCCCTAGCAGAAAAATATTTGATGTATAAAATATGACAATTTCTTCGGAGGGACTTCTTTCTCCTTCCCTTGTTGTGACGCGCTGATATCAAAGCACACGCTGTTCCTGCTGCCCGGGCAATGTGCAATTTGGGAAGCTTAGCCAGATACACCCTTTATAGGACAGGTGCCTGTCTGTAGTGTTTTTTAAATTAACAATAACCAACTGATGCACTAAAATCAACATAAATTACGGATAAATGATTAGGCTTTTTTTTTTTCCAGGCGGTTCAGACAGACGGCGCCCAGGAACGCAGCCTTTCTGCGCTCCTAACGCAGCTGCTGCGTTAGGAGCGCAGTTAGATTCAGCTCCCTGATCCTGCGCTCATCCTGACTCCAGCTCGCTCTCACAGCCCAACCTGACTCTGTTACCTTGAGCATCTCCGCCGCTGGTCAGCACCGCGATGCATTTCCCAGCTCCAGAAAGATTCTCGAAAAATTTCCGGGTGTCCTGCCGCTTCGGTCCCGTCGCTGCGGCCATGTTTCGGTCTGCCCGGGGTTCAAGTTTAGCTGAACTCCTCAGAAAGCCCACCGGAGGGTGACACTGGGGGTATCTGTGGCAGGAGAGAGGGAGGCAGTTGAAGTTAACGCCCCCCTCCACCCCCCTCCTCTTCCTCCTCCTCCAAAGATCCTACAATAGGACAGATTCCTGCTCCTTTCCTTACAAGGATGAGGATTTCCCACTGTCACTGCCTGTCTTATTTTTTATGATCATTTTCTACATTGATACATTCTTTGAAATGTTTCTATTTTATTCATGTCATCTTGAGACATGAATAAAACATATCTCAGGATGAGGCATGTAGGTTGAAGTCGAGGGATTGAAGTTTCCTTCTTAAAGATTGACTGAACATTTGTCTTCCTTTCTATCTATTTCTAATTTTTAAAAAGGTTTTTGTTCCTTTGAAAGCTTCTGCGTTTCTGATCTTTTTTAAAATTCTAGATTTTTTGGAAACTCAAGTTTAATCTCCGCCCACAGAGGGCGCTGTTTGTCTGACTTCAAGTTGAACTTCCCACCCATTTTCTGTGATTTTTTAGGACATAGACCAAAAGAGATAAAAATATAAAAAGAAACATAAAGATAAATAAAAAAATATCAGTGTCAACTCCTCTAATACATGAGTTACATAACTGCTAAAATCTAACATTTTTCTACCATCTGCTAATTTGAATTTCATTTCTGATTTCAGGTGTGGAAAAGGAAGCAGAGTGGTAAGTCTTCATTTTTTTTACTTGCCTTTGGTTGTCACGATCTGGAATAGAGCTGGAAAGCCTCTGACGCAGGTATCCACCTGACTGGCGGCTGAACGCACCAATCAGGTCCCACGTCTCTTCCAGGACGGGGAGGGGGAGGAAATTCCATCCACTACAACTAGGAAGTCTTTCACTATCAGCCTCAATTCACAACTTTCATCACAATCCAAACACTGGAAGCACAAGGGGATTGTTACAGCACGTAGAGCTGACACAGCCCACACTGATACTGTATCTGGATGCAGTTATGTAACTGATTGCAGACCCAATAGTCTCAGATATAGTCGCCATGCAGTGACCTTGAACATGTCTGGGTCCAGTATCACAATGTCAGACTGAAATGATCGCGTTGGCTTTGTGTGTCTGAGAGGCGGCGTGGCGGCACACTGGCACACGGTACGCTGTGTCCCCTCACACCTGTGGCACCAAATCTACCAGTTTCTTCATTTTCTTTTACTCCAGACACATTGGATTGTTTGAAGATGGAAACATGGGAGCTTCGGGTTCATCGGGTTCAAAGGGCCACGCTGAGGACACTGGATATTCAAAATTCTGCTTGCAGCACAAAAAGATGTCTTGTGATATAAGTGCCTCTCCTCACTTATTCGATTTTCATTCCAAGATCCAAAATGAGGAACTGCTTAAGTTATTAACTTCTAGAATTTGGGTGCCAAATCTTCACAACTTCAGTGATTTAAAATAAAAATTGAAAATGGTTTTAACCAACACTCTGATCTTTCCCAGATGCTGATATTTTTGGAAATGACTAACTTTCAGATCTCAGTGAAAATCAGAAACAACTTTCTTTAAACACAGAGATTAAGTTTGGTTTGATCAAAGGGAAAATTAATTAAATAGCTCAAATTGTAGAGTTTCTTAGCTGAAACAATCCAGTACTGAAATGCAACCGGAGAGCAAATAAAAACAAACGTTATTCCTAATATAACACCAACCAGTGAAAAAATAAAAACATTTTCACTTTTTCACTTTCTGTCACCACAAGTAAAACGGCGCCCCCTGCAGGTGGATAGTGGAAATTGCCTTCTAGTTTTAAGAAAATTAATTTATGCTCGCAATGAAACTCAGGGGCAAATCAGGTCAATAAAAATAGTTTATTTACAGTGGCATCAATCATAAATCAACAAGCAGCATTGGCAGAAGCAACATCAGAGTCGACAGTTTGCATAACGTTGGTGAACAACTGTTGGGTAAAACCTCTCACTAAATAAACTGGACTGTGCAGCTGCTCAGACGTTTCAGTTCAACTTCACAGCAGAGACAATACTTCAAATAAGAGTTTTAAAAATACCAAATTTGAACCTCAACACTCTGTAGTTGACTTATGATTTAGATTTACAGTATTTAATATCTTACAGTGGCCCCAGGTAAAAGGAGTTTGCAGCACATTGTGGTGCCTAACAAAAAAAAACAAACAAAAAAACACTGGAAATCTGCTTCATTTGCTTTACTCCGGTGATAGTGATATATACCATGATCCTGAGACTACGTTAAAGGAGTGGAACATTTTAATCAAATCTAACAAAATTTATTTCTGTTAAAGTTTTAATGTAAACATTTGCAAATCAAAAAAAGAAAAATAGCCCATTTTTGACGAGTTAGTTCTGTGCAGTTTGAAACAGCTTGAATTTTCATTCGATTTTCTTGAAGTGAATCTACAGATGTTTTAGTATTTTCATTACTAAATAAATCTCCTGCAAATCAACCGGGATATAAAATCGACCCGGCAGTTTAATGGCGTCTATGAGCCAGATGATATCTGTGGAGTGGTCCAACTAGAGTGAGATAAAGCGGTCAAAGTTGTAGTTTATTTAGCTTAAATAGTCATATAAAGGAGGGAAAAAATAATGAAGTAAATTATCCTTTAAAACCAAAGTCTTGTATTAATCAGGGAGTTTTTCAGTACATGCAAACAAAGTGATGAGAAAAGGTTGGATTTACGAACATAACAAATCTAAAGAGGTTCATCACAGCTTGTAAAGTCTCATTTTTGTGAGGAAACCTAATATTCCTGCTTATAAACTGGATCAAATGGAGCATCACCAAGGTATCACCAGATACTCTTTAAAACTGTACAACTAAACACCAAACAAAACAAAGAAATCAAAACGCTAAGGCATTACTCTATGCATATTTACATAAAATACAGTTGTATGCAATTGATAAAAATATACAAAATTATCCACTATGTATTCTTGTCTCCGTTTGAATCCAGACAAACAGTTTACCTTCATATAAGACATCTGGAAAAAATGTACACTAGTTATTCATCTTCACCGTAATCTCACTGAGAGTTTCAGACATTCAAAACATTTCTATGGCCTACATTTAATCTCTGAGGTTTTTTATGTTATCATATGAAAATAAAGAATAAAGAAATAATAATTTTTGTACCAACAGGGAGACAAAACTAAATTCCGACTTTCTTTACAGTGTTCCAGTTTTCATTTCCCAGTTTTCCTCATGCTACAGAATGTTAAGCAGGGAATTCAAGAAAAACATGTCGAGTTTAAACAGTTTCCCTCACAATTAAAAGCTTATGATGAAAAAGCACCTAATGAATAGCACCGAAACTAGCTAAGCTATTCTTGAAACGTTCCTGACTTTCAGTGTGAATTGTAAAGGCTTTTAGTCAAACAGTATGAGGGAAAAGTAAAATAAGTAACTAAAACTTATGAAAACTCTGAATCTTTAACAATTTATCTTCATTGATCTAAAGTAAGTATAAACAAAAAGTTAAAAAGACAAAATACAAAAACGTTTAAATTTGCTTTTAGAGTTAGATTATTCTAAACTAGAAAAGTCACAATACAGAGGAGTTTTGTTGCTTTCTATGGGCAAAGCAGATCTAATTGCAAGTACAATTAAATTAAAGCAAAAATATAACATAGTTTGACTGCTACATGCTAGTAATTACCTTGCTAACATTGTTGTCAGGTCCTCCAGTGGCAGTTGATCACTAAAGATTTAAGATTTAATTTAACATTTTTATCCTTTAAAAGTTTGAAAGATTGAGTTTATGACAAACTATATATGGCAATCAGTTTCACTTTCAGTTTCAAACATGCAACATCTGCAAGCTAATGAATCTTCATCAGCACAGACAAAGCATTTGCATAGTATTACATGAGATAAGTAATGTTATCAATGACTTGTTCCATTATTTGAGTAGCAATGACTATCATGGTAGTGACAGGTATTTGTGAAATAGATGCAATGTGAAAGTTAATAATGCAGAATTTTGACATGTAAAAAAAAAAAAAAAAACATCCGTATTTGAGATTATCTGTGTGAAAAATGCATAGAAAAGCAATGATGGAGCGTTATTTATCTAAAGCTGTGCTCTTTACTCTCTTCCACATGGAGGATACACTGCATTGGAGCAGAAAACAAAAATAACAGCAACATGTAAAAGCTATTCCTCACTGAGTGCTTGAACACAAATGTTGAAAAAAGTGTGGAGTTTTGTTGGTTGCACATGCATTTAAGTCACAATGACAGAAAAAATAATCAGTATGCGCGGGCAAATTTGGTCAAAATGCAACAACAGTCAGAATAAAACGCAAGTTGTGACATTTTTTGTCGCTACATGCTAACGATTAGCATATTAACAGTGCTATTTAGCTAAAGACTAGCACTCCCCATTACAGAACAAATGAGGCTTTTGATTTAGTTTGTTTCAAACTTCATAATAAAACATCCACCAGGAAGCTTGTTTGAATAAAAAGAGACAATGTGCTTAATTTAACCTATGGCATATTTCTATTCTCTATCGATCATTTATGAAAGTCCAAATTGCTGCTTCACGATACCACTTAAGGAAAAGGGGTGATAAAGATCTATGTACACTATTTATACACATTCACCTTTATTTGAAAAGTCATTAAATAGGGGACACATGTCCTATGTACTACAGCAGTTCAAATATATATTACTTTTAAAATTAACATCAACGAGTACCATTTCAAAAGATTTTAGATATAATTGATTTTCTTCCATACAAATAATCTAAAACATCTTTAAAACGATAAATAACTGTAAAATCTTTCATATAGTTTTCCTTTTATGTTCAGTCGGGTTCTAAAATAGAACCAGGAGTTAAAAACAAAACAAACAAAAAAATCAAAAGATTAATTTCATACAACCCTACTGAGTGAAATTGTGACAGTTTGAGTTTCACACGCTTACACACTAACAGACACATAGTAGTCAAACATTTCACCTCCGGGGTCAAACCTGGGAAAACTGTGCCACCTCCTCACAGCAAACACTCACCGTAAGCAGCTGGTCTATAGAGGCTTACACCCTGTGTGTCATTAAACTGACTGCCTACACGCTTTTGTATGTACAGTGCATGTGCTGGTTTTACAGCAGCAATTCATGGAGCCAGAATATTCAGCAAGAAGATGTACATATATTTTTGAAAAGATGCCATAAACCACATTTTGGAGACAAAAAGCTCCTTTTTGTGCTGATTCAGCCCAAAAGGGCCATTGGATGATTTCGCCTATTGGTTGAATAAGTGCCAGTGAAATCCTTCTTCTTCATAAAGTTAGCTGATGTCTGTTTAGTTGTGTGTTCAGCTCAGTAAATTAAAATGGAGTCTCTCCATACTGTTGCAGAAAAAAATGGAAGCTAATTGGACTATTTTAGCCCAGAGATAATGACTAAAATAAAGACAGAATCAGAAACATATTCTGTTGTAATGACTGTCCTACAGTTGTGCTTGCTGCCAGAGTGGTTCAGATGACAGTTTTCATGGTATTTCAAACTGTGTTTGATTTAATGAAAAACTGGAACGAGGCCAGTCTGAGAGAAGTCCAGAAGTTTTTACATTTTGTGTTTTGTCCTCTGAGATGATTGTAAGTATTTCCTTTAAAATCTTCACACTTTTCACTGAGGCCGTGGTCAGCAAAAAGTCTGCAAAAAACACAGAATCACACAGTGAAGAAAGATTAGTTACTGAATAATTAGAAATGCAACAGCAATGCATTTTTTAAAATATTTATTGAACTTTTTAAAAATAGTATATTGCTAAGTAAAGGGAAAGTTTTACTTCCGAGACACAAGGATTACAAAGGATAATGTTCTTATTACAAAATGATCATTTGTACCAAAAAATATTGTAGCAATATTTGAATGCCCCTCAAATATTGCTTCACCGCAGCTTTAACATTGCAGGAATTTTTTTTATTTTGGAGATAATAAAAAGGAAACTTTGAGGGACACTGCTGTGAAAGAGCTCTTTTATTTACTACTACGTCTGTGTGCATTGTTTTAGATTAAGAAAAGAATTGGAAAAAAATGCTCACAGAATTGACATTGCTCTCTTGGGTCAACATATCGATTCCTCCAAACTGTTCCAGCATCAGGCTGCTGTCGCCCACCTGCACCAACAGTGACATAAACAAACCAAGTTATATCTCCTCAGTTACTTATGTGTAAAAAAACCACACACACTCAAATTTCCAGAGCTTTTAAAATGTGAAACAGTGATTTTGTCACCTGTTCGTTCATAGAACCCATTTGTCCTGCCACCGAATTCATGTTGCTGCTGCTGTACATTCCACTGGATTGTGTCGAGTACTGAGACTGGGACTGCTGGGGGTACACACTGAGAGGAGCACAGAAAAGTGATGCAGAGCTTTAAGAAAGCTCGACTGTGATGTCATTGACGTGGAGAAGCTGCTGCTACCTGTTGCTGGTGCAAATGTTTGCAGGCTGCGACCACCCGTTTAGGTCGGCGCTCGTCTGGTAGCTTGGCGGTCCGCCCTGGTTCGGAGCCTGAGGTTGGGTTTGCGTTTGGCCCTGGTTCTGCTGCAGCATGGGGCTCTGACCCTGTCCCATCCTGGGGGACAGCAGGGGGCTCTGCGGCGTCCCAGCCCCACATGGAAAGCATGACGCTGGGTCCTGGTGTTGCTGCTGACTCATTCCTACAAAAAATGGAAAACATAAGATGCAGGTGAGCTCAAGTTTGACATTAAAGCAACACATATCAATAAATGTTCCGTTCATTATTTATAGAGATTATATTAATTGGAATATCTGACCAAAATACACAAAAGATTGTGGCTGATTTAAATCACTAGCATCCAAAGAGCAGATATCTGACAAAGTCACTTTTATTTATATAAAATGCTTTACCTCATACAAACTTCATACAGTCATCAATTATGAAAGAAATAGTAAACATAACATGTGGTCAAATATCATAAAAATAATGAAGCAAATGAACATCATATATGTTGATCAATGTTTCACTTAATACTAATCAAAGACAAATTTAATCAGGTCAGTTTTTAGTTCAGATTTAAAAGAACTCGCTGTTTCGGCTGTTTTGCAGTTTTCTGGAGGTTTCTTCCAGATTTGTGGTTCACAGAAGCTGATGCTGCTTCTCCATGTTTGGTTCTGGCTCTGGGGATGCAGAACGGACCAGAACCAGAAGACCTGAGAGGCAACAACAGCAGATCTTTAAGCCGTTCAGAGATTTATAAACTGACAGCAGAGTTTTAAAAGTCTGTTCTCTGAGCTGCAGGAGCTCCGGACGGACTTTCGCCCTGCTGTGATGTTCTCTCTCTTCCAGGTTTTAGTCAGAATGCCAGCAGCAGCGTTCTGGATCAGCTGGAGGACGATTTATTGATTTTTTTTTTTTGGCAGACTTGTGAGGACACTCTTCAAGTAATCAATGTGACTAAAGATCATTAATTTTCTATGCCTGGAAATGTTCTTCTGGTGACAAAACACTGGTTTTATGTGACTCCGAAGGTTAAGGTCAGAGTTCGTCACTACACCCAGATTTCCGCCTGATCTCTAGTTTCTAGCTGCAGTAACTGAAGCCGTCTGACTCTAGATCACCACCACCACCTGTAACAACATCCTCCATAAAGCACATCATTGATCCAATACCTGAATTGCTGAACTGGAAGGCACTGTGCTGTGATGGTGGGCTCATTACGCCGCTGTATTGCCCGCCTACATTTCCCATCATGCCCTGGCTTGCCAGGAGATGACTCGGGGAGAGAGGGGAGGAGAAGGGGCTGGAGGAGCCGGGATGAGGAGGAGGAGGAGATGACAGTCCTGTACCGTAACCGGAGGCCGGGTAGGGGAACCGCTGCATGCTGCCCTGTGGCACCCGGGGGTTGGCACCCCCCAGGGGCATCGGCGCGGGAGCAGCGCCCCCGCTGGGCATGTTGGGCGGCAGGTTGATGCCCTGAGTCCGCATCATCATGGCACGCTGCTGATGCGCGTGGTGCTGCTGCTGCTGCTGTTGCCGCTGACGCAAGTGGTTGCTGAGGTACTCGCGCTGACGCTGCGCCAGCATGTGGGCGTTGACAGGTCCCTGCTGGAGCAAACACAGCCGGGTCATTTCTGGCATTACCAGGAAACAGGAAAAGGTCACAGTCTGCGAGGAAACACTGCACAGGAAGTTCACTGCACAAACACTAACTCTTACCAAGTATCTTTGATCCAGTGGAAATATCTCAGGACACTTGAAATAAAACAAACTAACTTACAAGTAACTTTTCAACCAGATACAGGAACTAGATTTTAGTCTGCAATTTCTTTATTTTGATGGAAACATACGAGTTCCACTGGCAGATTAGTTCACTTGTAACACTGGAAAAACATTGTAAAAATGAAATAATCTGCCAGTGGAACTAATACTTTTTCATCATTTCTAAGTATTTATAGATTTAAAACAAACTCCTATTTCTTCAGGAACGTTAGCAGTAAGCTAGTTTTTTCTTATTTCAAGTGTACTGAGATATTTTCAATTGAAACTGGACAAAAATCCTTAATACTTTTTGTTTTTGCAGAAAGGCTGCACAATCAAAACACACTGACTTTTTCACATTTTGTCACCATAGAAAATGTACAAGTTTTGTGAAAAAGCAACGAAAAGCAATGCATTGCTGTTAAAACATTTGTCTGATTTTCTTTTTACAAATAAAAATCCGAAAAGTGTGGTTTGCCTTTGTATTCAGCCCAATCAATGTTTCATAAAACATGTGATAGCAGTTGTTGGAGGAAAGAGGCAATTGTGAACATCAATTTTTAAGTCTCGTCACAGATTATTTGTTGGATTTAGGTTTAGATCTTGAGTGGAAAATTTTTAACAAATGCATGTTCCTCCATCTAAACCATTTCACTGGACCATTAATGTTCATGGCTGTACCATGACAAAACGTGGAAATGTTTAAGATGTAAGAAATAACAGGGAAATAAAGTCACAGGGGAGCAGATGGTTAATGTTTATGTATGTATGCAAGCAGCTGACCTGGGTCGATACATTAGATCTCAGAGGTAGATTCATATTTCCAACTCCGCCCATCTGGTTCATCACTGGCTGACGGTTCTACAGAAGTCACAAAAACCCAAAGCTTTAACAGAACCAAGACATCATCAGACTCCTCTGTGTGAAGGGCAGAAACTCTCTACCATAGCTAGTAAAGTTTAACAGAAATCACAGTCAATGACAGTCAATTGATGAAAAAATGAAGCCCATCAAATGTTGATGGACATTAAAATCATTTTATTATTTTGGCTGGAAACAAATTGTCAAAATTCTGCTTATGATTATCATCTTGCAATTTGATTAACAATTATTTCGGTCACACTGATCAATAAATCAATTTAATATGCTCGAATTGAATATATAATTTTTTGTCTATTAAAACAGTAATAAAAAAGTTAGTGATACTGTCTTTTGTCATAATCATACCAAGGGTGACAGAACGTGCTTTTCTTCAACTTTCCACCAGGTGGCAGCTTGTACCAATATCACATATTATGAACCTGTGTTAAACAGCAGTGAAGAATCTTTCGTCAAAGACTGGGGTTTGTGAGTTATACAGTATAAAAAGGCCAGATTGTGAATAACAAGTATTTATGCAGTTTGTGCAGGTCTTTGTTTATTGCAAAGTGTTCCAGGGACACTAAGCTGGTTAAACAGGAAAGGTGAAACGTTTTTTTGTTTTTTTTTCTGTTTGCTGCAGTTTAAACCCACTGAACCCCAACGACCTCTCTGTTTGCTTCGGCCAATCTTCTTTACTTAGAAAAATGGCTGCAGTTTCAGAATGAAGTTCAACATTTCGCAATGACATGGTTTCAGATTAAATGTCAACAAAGAAAAGCACTGGATTAAAAAGAAGAAGCAATTCAGACTGGATTTTTAAAACGGTATTTAGAGAATAGAAGCAATTAAATAATGACTGATAACTTTGGTAAAACAGATAAATCTTCCCTTTTGAAATATTGATCACAAAAATAAGAACAAAATGGCTTTTTTTACGTTAAAAATGAAATTTAACTCTGACTGATCCCAATTACACTGCAGCATGTTATATGGCTCTGATTAATCATTCTACACAACCACTGACCAGATCACTTTGTGCCACGTTTTCTTCTTCTTGACCTTTCAGATTTGCTTATTTAACCACCAGTTAACATCGTGTGTAAATTTTTTTTGTAATATTCAATAAAAATTAGTAAAGTCCCAATAATAGTTTCTGCATGCCCCTTTGTATACTGTCTTCAGCAAAGTGAGATCCAGCATAACAGTGTTCAGCACCGGTTTTCCTAATTGTACCAAATAATTACATTGAAAACGTAATTAAAATGTTAACATATAAATAGGAACCCCATCCACTATACTTTTTTACATGTTTTTATTTTTGTCTTTACTTTGCATATTGTATAGAAAACATATTTATATGTAGACATTTTTTTTAGCTAAAGCTAAATTTGCTTTAATTTAAAAGCAAATGCCTTAAATGCCAAAGTAGAAATATTTTGTACTAACCTTTTTTTTTTTTGCTTTTTAATTAAAAACAAAAAAAAGGCTGTTTTTATCAAAAGCTTTGAAACTAAACAGAGGTGATAAAGGCGCCACCTACCAGCTGGGCCTGGAGTCTGTGCTGGAGCTGCAGCCTCAGGTTGTTGGGCTGCGGCGGTACCATTGGATTGGGACCACCAGGTCTCATGCCAGGGGCCCGGGGTCCTGGGCCGCCGGGCATTCTCATCATGGGCGGGTAGCCTGCCGGGGCCATCCTTTGAGGGCCCATGTGGCCCCCCATGGATGGGGCAGGGTACAAGCCATCAGGAGGCATGCTGCCATAACTGGGCTGCCCTCCATACTGCTGACTGTAGAGGGGAGGTTTCAGACCGGAGGGAGAGTCCGACGGACCCAAGTACTGGTCCTGGTCTGAAAGAGGACCCTGCAGACGGAGATAGAGGAGGTTTTTTTTCTGTTGTACAATAGCTGGAAAAAGTACCAACATAGTTTGAGCTTTTCAATATTTTGTGGCAATGAAGATTAATTTTATTAGGACTTTATGTCACAGACAAACACAAACTGATGTGAAATTGTGAAGCAGATGAAAAAGTTTAGATAGAAACCTTTCAGACTACTTTGGAAATTTACTTGATCTTATTGTATTATTTGATAACTAAGATCAGTTGGAATGTACGTATGTTTGAAATTAAATTATATTTTTTAAAGATCCTCGAGATGATATTTACTGTGATTTGTGAAAAAACTCAATTGAATTGAAAAATTATGCATAATCTGAATATAAGTCCATAGTTATAAAAAAAATTTCAAATTGTTCCTGTCATTTTCTGTTATGCACTGCTGTGTTTTGTTCTGTCACATTGAAAATCTAATAAAAATGCTAAACTAAAACACTGAAATTCATAAATGTAATTATTAAAAACAGATTTAAGGGGTGTTTGAACTGCTGTATAGTATCCAAAGTTTGTTTATTTTGATGTAGAATGGTAAAAATTCAAAAACATTTCATTTTCTTGTTGGTTTATTCTCAATACCTCAATAGGGGTGATGTTTATTTGTCAGGAAAAATACATAAACAATAATATTAAATCATGTAGTTCCAGAAATGCATTCCGGATTTCTGTCTGTAGCTAATAAAAAGGTGCTGTCTCTTTAAGGCAACCTGGACCAAGCTCACCTGTCCAGCCAGAGTGGGTATTCCCAGCATCTTATCTATCTCCTCCAGACCCTCATAGTCTTTCAGCACCGAACACAGCTGGTTCAGCAGAGCACCTTCATCCGTCTGTCCTTCAGAACCAGAACCACAGCAACTAATCCCGTCCTCCTGAGGGATGCCATACGGTGGCCTGCAAGGTAATTTCTCATCAGACTAAACTAACCCAAAACTCGGTCTTCCTTTATGCTTTAGGCTGGACTGAATGTCAAACCTGCTGTGGTTTCCATAGTGATCCATCATCATCATTCGGTCTGGCCATGGAGCCGTCTGATTGGGCGGAACCTGCTGCTGGTGGTAGGGCGGAGTTGCCATGTCCAACTCTAAAGTGGCAAACAAAGAAAAAGTATTAACGTCTGCACAAAATGGATGCCAGTTGAGGAGCGTCTGATTGGTTGAGTCTTCCCACCGTTGCCCATCATCTGCATGCTGACCAAAGCTCTGGAGACATTTGGACCACTGCTTCTTGTGGGGAGTGCAGAATTGATGTTGGGTACCATTCGACCCACTCCATGGGCCATCATGGGTCCTGCACTGCCCCCTGTTGGAGCATGGGGACCCCAGCCCTGCTGCATGGAGCCTCGAAGGCCTGCGGAAAGAAAGAAGATTCCTATAATATCATTTCATTTTTCACAATTAAGAGATACATTTTTCACTTTCCCAAAGCTCTGGGGAAGACAAAGTGTTTAGAAATTCACTGACTGTTCAGTCTGACCTGTGTTGGTTACTGCTGCCGGGTTCATGCTGGTGTGGGTTCCCATCATACCTTGCTGCTGCAAGGAATATGGCCCATTGTTTCTGTGCTGCGGAGGGAAAGGCCTGGTGGGGCTGGAGCCCATGCTGCTGTCCAGAGACATGCTCCTGCCTGGAGGAGCCCCCTGACCGGCCTGGCCCGGCCTGACACTGTTAAAGCTCGCTGCAATGACAAAATGTTTTCATTCCTATAAAAATTTTGGTAGAAGTGACTCCATTTAATCCATCTGATTTATTTTGAAGACCTGGACATATTGAAACATCCAGCTGAAGATGTACCTGCGGCTCCGATGGGAGGGAAGGCTCTGTGCTGGCTGGGGGAGCTGCTGCTGCTGCTGCTGGTGTCGTTCATCTGCAGGATGTCACTGATGATGGTCTGTTTGTCCACAGAGGAGCCAGCTGGCATGGCTGATGAAGAGGATGAAGAGGATGGAGGCTGACTGGGGAACAGCTGCTGCTGGCTGCTGTTTTGCAGGTCCTCCAGCAGGTCCTCCAGCTCAGATGCCTGGAAGCAGCAACAATTATAAAAGTAATTTATTGCAGAAATGCATTTCTATGACATCCTCTCATATTCAAGACATTAATGAAAATCCTGCGAAGCAAGTTTTGAGATTAATCAGAACTGATTTGCACAACTAAACTGCAGAACATGCCTTTCACCAGAAAACTTCACATTTTCACTGAATCCTTTACAAGTATGAGTTCAGCTTTAATAAGATTTTAAATTAAAGCTACTTCATGCGATCTTTAAAGGGGAGCACCTGCAGAACCACCTAAAAATCTTTATATTCTAAAAGATTTTCTTTTAAAAAACGGTATTGATGTAACAATTGAGCATCCTGATTTTAAAATGCCTCTCCTTTAAAAATATGTTTGAGTTCAGGTTGTTTAATTACATTTAATCTGACATAATTTGACCATATTTTATTTCACTTTATTTAAATTCATTTCACTTTTAGTTTAGGGTTTTTTTTCTGGGTTTTTTTACATTTGTTTTTATTTTCTTTAACTTTATTTTCTAAAATGTTTTTTCTTTTCTCCAAACTGATTTTAAGCAAAGAATTAGTCAAGTATGATGACAACTTTGACAGAAACAAAAACCCCACTCAACCCTCGCCAGCAACACATCGTAACCCAACTCTTTACACACACACGCACACACACACAAACACACACACACACACACACATGCAGAGTGGACAGATATGGTTTCCTAGGGCCGTTTGGCTGATGAATAGAGTGGAGAGCTAAAAATAAACTTCTAGCACTAATGAGGTCATGTGTGATGTACAGTAGGACACACAGAGGTTTAGGAAGCATTACATGTGAGGACAACAAAATATTTAAAGGTTATATTTGAAATCGTTGGTATAATGGTCGACAAAAGCATTGCATCTGCATCAATGAAATGAGACACAACATATCATGAGACAATATGATAAACTCACAGATATGTTAAGAAATTGGGGATCGAACCACTTCTAATAAACATCTCCTCTTCCTTTTAAACTACACCTGCTATAAAAATTGTAAAACTGTATATTTTACTCCATATATTATGTTTTCCTTTGTCCAAAAGCACCTAAACTGAGCAGTGCTGCAATCGCATCAGCAGATCATTTTAAAACATGCTTCTCTTGGACAGCAGGAGGCTGTGGAGCCGACCTGACAGTGGCCTCAAGCGACTGTCCATGTGTGAAGTGTTTATGAAATGATTGAGTGCTCTTCTTGTCAAAATCCAGCAAAGCATGGCAGTGGTTGAAGTAAATTAATGTTCAGATGTGGATATCATAAATGCTTACAGCAGTTGATACAGATCGAAGATGGATTAATTCTAATTATTATAAAACTTAACTGCATGTCAGCTCCCATTTTTTCTTGTTTAAAAACAATAGTTCAAGGATTTGACATCTTTTTGCATTTTTCTTACAATTTCAATTATTTAATTGATATTTATCTAGCTTTTCAAAACTGCATGATATTAAACTACCCAAATTAATATTTAAGTATTTTGGTTATCTGATAAGTCATAATCACAATAGATTTAATAACTATTTAACAAACCCCCTTCCTGGAAAAGCTCAAATAGGTTTTCTTTTGTTTTCTTCTTCTCTGGCTCCAACTTCCCCTTCGCCGGACGCACCCCTGGTTGGGTGGTCAGATCCTTTGTTGGATACTGAACTTCTGCCATCTGCCTTTCACTCATTGAACTGTCTTAACGTTTGCCAATCCACATGCTCTTTCCAAACAAGAAACAAAGTGCAAACTCAATGAACTTTGCTTTCCATGAAATCATCAGTTTTCTGACTCTCTATGTTGATTTACCCCTGACTCCCATCAGCTGCAACTAAGAGATTTATTAGTCAGACTCACTTTAAACAATCTGACTTTTAAAGACACGGCAGGCCTGTTGATCTGGGCTGGCGTTTGCTCGAGTGGCCGAATGACCAGCCAACTAGTTTGAAGATGTAAATCCAATCAAAGTCCAAGTCTCAACTTAATAGGAATGGTCTAACTTAAATGTTTGTCAACAGATTTCAATAAACTACAAAGGTCTGTTAATTGGAGTAAAACCATTTCCTACTGAACTATTGGGAAAGACTGATGAGATGTTAACCATAACTATAATCCTTCCACAGAATTTTTTTTTGTTTCAGTAAAATAAAAGGACAGTGTAATAATCTATGTAGATTTCTCACTTTAATACCCGACTATTGAGATATGATGAAGATGTGGAAGTTATTTTTTCTTGTTTTTTCTTTGTCAAGTTTCATCAAAATTATGAAAGCTATTCTTAAAGAAAATTCTACCCAGATTAGTTAAGAGGTAGACACCTTGCAGAATATGATTTTTCTCTTTTAATAAACTGCCTGAATTCTTACCTGTTCAGCCAAATTAAAACCTTCATCCTGCTTCTCAGTCTTAACGCAGGTCAGCTGGAGTCCGTCGCTTGGTTCCATTTTGATGGCTTTGTCGAGGATGCCATTATCATCCCTATCCAGAAGGTAGCGAAGCAATGCATTGTCTTTCTTTCCCTGGCTCCCCGGCTCCTGTTTGGTGCAGAGTTCACTAAGAGCAGCCATGCTGTCTACTGAGGCAGACTCTGGACCAATAGGATCTTTTCCCGTAGCCTCCGCCGTTAGCTTGGCCAGCTCCACAGGTGAGGTGCTGTTCTGCAGCAGCCTGTGGAGAATTTTGTGTTTTTCCTTTAATGAGGTGGTTTGGTTGTTATGTCCGGGCCCCCCACACATCTGGTCCTTACAGTTCTGGTCATCTCCTATGGGACCTGGTGGTGAGGAAGGATCAGAGGGTTCTAACTTAGTGGTGAGGAGCTGCAGCAACTTGGTGTGGCCTTTGGTGGTCAGACGGTGGTTTGCAGCATCGGGAAGATCGCCAAGGTTTCCGTTACCTCCCAGGGTGTCAGGATCAACATCTTTCCCATCTGCCTGTGTACCATCATGGGTGTGGGATGACAAAAACTCCTCCTGCTCTTCAAAAGTTCCAAACAAGTCAGTCTCTAAGCTGAGATTGCTCTTGCTAATTTGGCTACCAGGTTTGTTGCTGTGAGGATTACTCTGAGGAGCACCTGGTTTTCTGTCAGGTGACTCTGGATGCTGTCCATCAGCGAGCCCTGGGGAAATCCTGGCGCCCTGGCTGAGAGCCTGCAGTGCACTGAGGGAGTTAAAACTTTGGTTGTTTCCTGTGGTGCTGCACACGGATGGAGGGGAGTGCAAACCGGGTGCAGGAGAGAAAGATCCAGGCGGATGTTGGAGAAGATGAGGGCTACTGCAGTTGCTGCCATTTGCGGCAGCGCTGGGACTCTGCCGATGACGAGGAGACAACATGGCATTCTGGACCCCTGAGCTGACGCTTGGACTTCCTTGGCCAGAAGGGCTGCCCAGCTTCAGAGCATGGCCGTTTCCCTGAGGCGTGATGGCCCTTCCTGGAACAGACCCAAAACCACGTCCAGGGGTGGTGGAGGCTCCGGTGGAGTGATGGCTGTTGCTGGTGACACTGGCATCAGGTGAGGGGAAGGACCCGCTCATACTTGTTGGGGTCATTGACTTGCCTGAGTCCTGACCACTGGGAATGTCTGCAGCCATGCCTCCCAGGTTTTCCCTGAAACAAAGTTGAGAACTGGTTTGTACCATTTGAGTTCAAAGAAACTTTTTTCTTTTGACATTTTAAGGTCCACAGTATTCTCAGATATGACTTTCAGTGGGTGTTTGATGCAGGACTGCAGTGGCTGATGGTTTTACTACCGTGTGTGAAAGGAGTAAAAGTCAGGAAAGGGGGGTTACCTCTGCAGGATGTGTAGCGACATATAGAGCTGTGGTTCATTGGTGCCTGGAGAGCGGACCAGTTTGCTCTTTGTGTGAGCAGAAACTATGGTGCCGTCTGCCAGGGAGAATCTGTACAATGGGCTGAGGGCATGGCCGTTCTTCAATACTGCATACAGACAGAGAAAAAAAACAGGATGTTGATTAAAGAAACCCGCTGTGATATTTGGTCTTTACATACATTTGTTCAGGAAATATAATGCATATTTTGAGGAGACATTATGCCAACCTTCTTGCTGGTGTTTCTTGGCAAAGGAAATCTCCCCGTCACTCTGCAGGTGGAACTTCTGGATGCAGCGCCGGACCAGGTCTTCCCAGCCCGGTTTCATAGATGCCCGAAGAACACTGGTGTCCAGAGAGGTGATCTTACCTGAACAGGTTAACAAAACAAATTGGTTTCTAGAATTTTAAAAATAAGAAAATAAGCCTTTAGCCAAACCCATCAAAGACTACAGTAGACGTTAAAGCAAAGCATAAAATGCCTCTCAGGCTCCAGGCAGGTCTAATCCAGTTCTACAAAGCTTTCTTTAAAAAAAGGACAGTGGAAACCTCAGACAAAATAGCTAACTGATTTCAGGCTAAAGCACTAAAGGCCGTACCTTGAAGATCCTGTCGTGTTGTGAAGCTCTCATATGCCGGCATCACAGGCCTCTCTTTGACAGGAACTCTTCTTGCCACACAGATGAGACACGACTGGAAATCTACATTTTTGAGGAAAAAATGTCAGTAATTCCATAACTATATATGGCAAAGGCTATATAAAGACATCCTCACACATAAACAGGAACACTGTTTGTGTGTGGCTGTCTCTGTTGGATGGAATTATTTTACCTCTGAGCCCTTTATAATTTTATTTATTTTCACAAATTAGAATACAACACAAACTGTCAACAGGTCTACATTATTTTCAAAAACAAAAATGAAAAACACCTAAGACCTAACAATCAACAATCAGTCATTATGAACTTCCACCTCAGCGTTAGTGTATCTACAACCCTGTAAACAAATCTCCACTCAACATTAATTTTGAAGATTCCTAGTCATCTTTTTAAGTGATCAATAGCTTTCCAATTATTCTCAGAATTTGCCATTAGGGTTGTAAGAAAAGTTTTCAAAAGAAATTATATTTTATTACATGTCGGATTCTTCTGCAGGTTATTCAGGCTATGAGAGACGCATGATCCTAATCATGTTCAAAAATCTTCCGCTTGGTCTGAATTAACACAAGATTCATTACTGACGAAGAAATCACAGTCTATCAGGTCCTACTAGCAAGTCCACCAACAGAGTGATGCAACTTCAAGTCAGCCTGCAACCCTCTGTCTGTCCACCAGATATCCTCATCGTGTCAGTGGAGAGATTGGCAAAATATCTGCCTGTCAGACGTCTAAAATTAGAGTGGCAGACACATTCTTCTCCCCCGTGTTCATGTGTGTGTGATTGGATTAGATGGGAAGCTGACAAAGTGCCACACACTAATTAGTCTCTCCCAGTGGATGGGAGGGGAGACAGAGAGAAGTGGTGACGGAAGGAGGACAGGACACAGGAGACTGGGAGGGCAGCACTGGGAAGAGTGATGGGAAAGTGACAGAAAGTCAAGGCTCAGATGAAGAGATGAGGAAAAGCAGCAGAAAAATTATTTCTTGAGCAGTGGAAAAGGCAAATGTAAAAAGAAAATTCACAACCATAATTAGATGGTTTTTGAAAGGCAGACCAAATCCAGATAAACAAGGAAAAACCGGAGCAATGACGGCTACTTAGCAAGACAAACAAGAATGAGAAGAAAAAACATTGAAAGTACAAAATAGACTAAATTAGAGACAAGGTTAAAAAAACAAGTATATACCTTCCCCCTCTTCCTTGATAGACTTTGGTTCAGAGACGGCAAAACACTGCATGGTCTCATATTTCTGCTGCGCTGCGTCCTGCTGATCGACGGCCTGGCGAGCTTCGCCGTCGGCGTGAGGGTTGACCAACATGCGACAGTTAAATGTGTGACTGTTCCTGTTGGAGGAGTCGGTGCTGCGATGATTAACTGCATGACGAAGACACAAAAACAACGGGAAAATGTAAGAAACATAGTTATTTAGGATGTAACTTTTGTAATGAATCTACTCTCATATACAACACAATTGATAAGTTTAAAGAAATCAGATATGCTAAAATGACACTAAAACATGCGACTTTTGGAGAATTTAGAGATATTTAGAAAATATGTTCACAAAATAAATGTTAACTTAGACATTTGAAAAACTTTTGATAATTCCAAAATGAGTTAAATACACTCTATTGTGGCAAATTTACCAATTTTCTCACCCAGACTCTTAGGTAAAAGGTTCTTGATGAACTCTGCATGGTCTCCAACATGCAGCACACTGTAGACACTGGTGTTCATCAGCTCCTCCTGCTGGTAGTGCAAATACTGGCTGACGTTCTCCGACACAAACACAATGTTTCCCTCCATGTTCACAACAAAGAAGAAGCCGTCCAGGGCCTGAGCGGAGAAAAGATTGGCACAAGTGACTGGGATGATGGGAAAATAATAAAAAGGATAAATCACAAAGAGAAAGAAAAAAAGATAGATGAATATATATCTATCATAACATTGTGAAAATTAATAAGTTCAAAGGAGGAAACACCTTTGTTGCATTTTATTTTATTTTGCATAACTCAATCTCTGCAAGCATTTTTTTGCACTGCTGCTGAAAAACATACATTTGAAATGTTGACTGCATGTTAATGTTTATCTTCCAGACCCCAAGCAGACACCTTTGCCAAAGTTGGTGCTTCTGAATACTATATATAGCTAGTCTGTGTGTGTTGGGTCAGACTCCGCCCCTTCTTTTCTAATCTGGCTTTTCCCAAAGGTATTTATACTTCGTTGGGTCCCATGGTAAACGTCATCTCTCACTCGTGCACAGACACACATAGGCTCCACTGTCAGTCAGCGCAGCTCTTATCTCCATTAGTCACGTGTAGAGCGATGCTAGATCCAGTCAGAAAGGTGTTCTCAGGCTGACCGTCTCTCAGGGTGGAATTTGTCCTGTTTGTTCAGGAGTGTGGCTGCACTTTGATGCATTCAGAGTGAATTAGATTTATGCAGAACTGCTGCTCAGAGTATACAGAGTAACTTTACATTTAGATGTCAAAGTAAAAACTGAATAACTAGATTACATTTCCAAATAGTATCTTAATTTCCTGAGCTACATTACATTCAAAAGACACAGTAAGAGCGCCTTTTAAATATAAGATTTACATTTTGTTTTTGTTTAATAAATAATGACATGATGCAATCTGTGCTGTGTTTTTTTGCACAGCTAAAGTAAACCTTGGGTTAGGACAGGCGACTTAGAGACATGCAGCTGATCTAATAATTATTATAACATCTAAGTAAGTTTCTAGACGATTTCAAGAATGGCAACACTCACATCTACAGCAGCCCGGCATTTTCAAGAAAAATCAAGTCGGTTTTTGACTCTACACTTTAAAAAAATAGTTTTTTTTATTATTATTTTAATATAGATGAGCATGGCTTTCAGGGAAGTATGTAGAGCAGAGACAATGAGTGACATGCCTATCTCCTGAAGGGCGGCCCGACAGGCTGAACTGGCCCAATGGGTCTGACCTCGAAGACACATAACGCTGTGTCTTCGAGGTCAGAGTTCAGAGTTGACTGAAGCATTTTCACTATTGCTTTTCTCTGCCCACAAAAAGCATTTGCACCAGCAATAAAGAGACTGCTGTATTTTTGTTTACTAGCATTCACATAGCAACATCTCTGGCATTAGAGCTTCCTGTTAGCTAATTCTTAATCAAGATGGCAGTGCAGCATGTGTGAAATATGCTGATCCTGTGGGGAGTGACCGATTTAAAACTTGATCTGGTAATGGCAGCGGAGGAGCCAGCCATCGAGCTGGCTATCGTGGAGACTGATCACAGATTGCTGCACAGGCATTACTGCTGACCAAGGAGACACACCAGGTTCTTACACAAATCTTCCAGGAAGGATCATCACTTTCAAGAAAGAATGAGAATTTTTGCTTGATTTTCTAACACCAGAAGAAAGACTCGAGAAATTGCAGGTTACATTAAAGCAATTTTTAAAGTTTGTGTTAAAAGTCTGCAGATTTGAAAACTTGTTGGTGTGACATGCTTGTTCTTCCGCATTAGATTGCACTCACCTTCAAGGCAGAACGCATTCACAAAATATTGAGAGATGGGTTTCAAAAGAAAAAAAAAACAATGACAGTTGGGCCTACCTCCAACATCATCGGGCCGAGAGTGTCTTTATCGATGACGGCCTGCCCTGTGGAGGAGACATCTGCCTTCTGCACCTCCTCTGCATTAGCCACCAGGGTCTTTTCTGTGATGAACAGCATAAAAGCAGGTGGTTCAAAAGGGAATCAGGGGATTTTTGTCATGTTTTTATCTCTCATCAGTTAAATTAATAGAACCCGTCAGTGAAAAAAGAGTGTTATAAATGCATGAATAATTGATGTCAAATCTGAAGACACAGATCAAAATAAATAACTTAGTATGTTAAATATCTCCTTGTAGGAAAAGCAGATTGTTATGATAAAGATTTTGCCGTAGGTTGTCTGTTTAAGCAGACAATGCTGACAGTGTTGTTTTTATCTAGATGGAGCCGTCACCCACGCACCCACTTTGTGTTTTCATAAACAAGACATGAAGACCTTCCACATATTACATTCTTTGGAAAGCCGTTCTCTTCTGGTATAGTTAACATGGTCATGGTTATACTTCAACTCTAAAACAAAGAGTGTGAATCGGTGAGAGGACATGGAGATTTGAGTGGCTGGCATGTTATTCACAGCACGGCTCGTTGCACAATTTTCCTGTACATTTTTGCACCAACTTTTTCCCTTTCCTTCATGGCCGTACCACCGGACTGTTAAGCCTCCCATGGCCCCATTCGGCCACATAGCTGACATTCCTTTTGTGGGACTGGAGCTGTGGAGTCATCAGCCTTTAAAACTCTGTCACTGCAGAGCCTGGAACGGCACTATAGTGCAAGCTGGAAGGAATTCAAGTCATTACCAACGTTTATTTAATTCATAAAATGTGTTATTACAATTTATTTCACCTGACATGATTCTGTTTGAGTTTCCTATTGTTTTTTTCTTCAAAAGGAACGAAAGAATCATAGTTAATAAAAATACTTGAAAAACAAATTCTCTGTGAACGTCTCGACAGCTGACATCTTTGAGGCTTGCACATAAACGACTTAACAGTTTGGTGCTGCATATCTTCCTTATTACCCAATGCACAACTCATTAGCTCAAATTAACTTCATTCAGCAGCACTTCCAGCACACGAGCCAAGGTTAAGACCTTAAAGCTGCAGTTTTCATTTACACAACTCATAAAAGCGAGGGATATTCAGCTTTCAGATGAACCGAAACCACACTGGAACCTTTACAGGTGAACCTCATGTGAACTTTTGAATGCACATGTCCAACAGTTCAAGGTTCAAGTACTTCTTGCACAACTTGCTGTTCTCCAACAAGAAGCTTATGATAAAACACACAAGTGTTTGATTCACTAATCAGCCAATACATTTTCTGGCTAAATCAGAATTGGTATTTAAATGGCAACCATACTGCTGACATTTTGACATCATTAGACCAATAACTGATCCACAGTACCTCACCACTGCAAGGTTTCAAAGAGGATGCTCTCAGACGCTGACATTAGGCTGTCATCAGAAGATTGCAACAGAGACAGTTAAAGAATCATAGAAATGTATAGAAATGTCCAGCTGGATGACACTTAAGTCCCAGGAAATTTCAGGAAGGTGAAAGACACCAAGGAGTCATATCAGACCTGCAAGGCACCTCACCACTGCGCAAGATACGGATGTCAATGTCTTGCGCGGATGGCAGATGGCTTCAGTGCTGTTCTATGATGAAAGTCGATATATGTTGAGCTGAAACGATGGCCAATGATAAGGTGAAGGAGAGCACTATGCACCAGCCACCGCTGTCAATGAAAATTAGCCTTTGGTGTCAGTAGTTTCACAGTGTGGACAGGTGTGACTACTGAATACAGAACTGCCCTTCATTTTGTGACTAGTGAAAAGTTGATATTACCTCAATAACGTTATTAATCCATTGTACCATTGTCATTGCAATCCTGTATGAACAACCCAGACCTAATTTCATCTTTGTGGACGACAATGCCCCAGCATCATTCGCGAACAGCTGCTGTTGTGATCTGCACTTTCTCCAGACCTGGATCCCAGAGAAAACCCCTCAGATCAGCTGAGACATTAAGCAGAGGTTTGTAACTCTGTACCCCGAAACCTCAATGACCTGAGGGCCACTTGAAGAGTGGGATGCCTCAGCAGACAATAAGTCGACTTGTGAACAGCATGAGCTGTCGTTGTCAAGCTGTAATTGAAGCAACTCCTCGAGGGCTCATGACCCCTGGTAGTGAGACATTGATATTTTTTGTTTTGGCACAACCCACTGTTGTTGGCCTTTGTGCCAATACATTGTGTGACAGAGGGGACTCATCATTGCATGCTTCTACTTAAATACCCTACTTTCATTGTGTCATTGTATTGATGTTTTTTAAGTTTTCCATTAATTTTACACAATAGCTAAAACAAATGCCATTTGAGGGTGCAGTAAACCTAAAGATTAGTGTATAAACTAACAGGAGGCACATAAACACCTTGTCACAAGGAAGCTGATTTGAGCGCAGGATGAACATTTTTCCAGTAGTGGCATTAGTTTCTTCATTTTGTATTCCTTTTTTACTGTTTTAAAAAAAAAATCTGCTCATCAGTTAAATGTTCCTCAACAATAGTGTGTTTTTCTGCTGTTGACCTCACAGCTGTGTGACTTGAGCATTATCCCCGTGCGCGAGTCTGTGCTTATTCAGCTGTTGTTTTCAGATGCAAACAGTGCAATGACACATGGACACCAACTGGGTGACTGCAGCCACAAAAGGAGGAGATGAGTAAGCGAGAGACGAACAGATGAAAGGAAAGATGACAGGACGCGCTTTCAAGTCCGAAGTTTCTACACGCACTACAGGCATGAATGTCATATGTGAAAAAAAAATTACATTTTGAGTTATTATGGATTCTTTTTAAGATAATGAAAATTAATGGAATAACCTTTAAATATGTCTGAGTTTCTCAATGTTTCTCAAACACGGTGGTGGTAGCATCATGCTTTAGAGCTGGTTTCAACCCAATTGAAATGTAATTACGTGTTGCATAATGTTAAGTAAATACCCAAATTGTTTTCACATTCATGTCCATATTTTTGTATTCAAACTTGGAGCTGTGGGATAATAATAATAATAATAATAAAAAAAGGATTACAATATAAAAGAAAATTTTAAATAGATAATAGTGGATGAGCAACACATCAGATATTAAAAAGAAAGGAAACACAGAGAAAGCAAAAAAAAAGATGGAGGAGAAAATGTGTTTAATGAACAGAATAACCAGGACAAAAGAAAAAAAAGACCAAGAAAAAGAACTGGAATCAAACAGGAAGAGGAATCAAGTAAAGATTGCAAACAAAATCTGAAAACAGAACAGATATGAGGAAGAACCAAAATAATGAGACATCATTAACTGAGTGGAAATATATATTAAGATTTTTCCATTTATGCAAAGAGGATTAAATATAAGAGAGAGGAGTGTAAAAAGGTGAGAACATTGTGAAGAATAGTAAAGCTTAAGAGAAAGTGAGGGACAGATCGGAGGAGCAGATCCTCCTGCTTCTCTCTGCAGGCTCATTTCACGTTGGTCATTGTTATATAAGCGCTCCAGCAGAGGCTGGCTCACCATTACAGTCCTTTCACAGTCTGTGGGCTCCCACTGTGAAGGGGATTGTTTTCCATTTACTTTTTAAAGTTAAGGAGTCCACATTGGCTCTCGAGATTTCAGTTTTATAAACATTAGTTCTGAGCTCTTCTAGTACCCACAGATATCACACTCTCTTCTAGCAGATGTTCCCCTTTCATGGCAGGAAACACTGGAAGGCCCATTTAGTGATAAATAAATGGTTATCCGAGGAAATAAGCTGCTTGTGACATTCTAATGGAAAAACAAATTAAATTGCTTATGCAGCCTTTCAATTTCTTTATTCAGGACATCTGAAACCGGGAAGTCCAGAACCTCCCATAACAAAAAAACCCATTGATGAGCTGGGAAAAGTGGCACCTGTTCTAAAAACTGCCATAAAATTATAGTTAAAAGCGAGTTAGCGCTAATGGCTAACTGTAGCATCCAATCAGCCCAAACTCAGTGCATCGTATAAAATGCTGACCTGTGGATTTTACCCAGCAGCTAAACATGCTGCCTTCAGGAACAGCTGAAAATTTCTAAACCTCAACACTGATTGTTTTTTAAGAACCAGAAAAAATATGATGTGAACTGACTTGTTGCTGAAATGTGCTACATAACGAAACTTTGTGTGGTTAAATTGTTTTCTATCCAGGCATCGGCTACGCCTGCTTACGCTACTTTATTCACTGAAAAACATCCAACCTAATATTCAGTACGTTCCATACTTTTTTACATTTTAGACAGTATTAATGAAAATTATTTCAGAAATTCAAAACTATTCTGTTTACTGCTGCCCAAGGTAAAATAAAATCATCATAGTAATTTTCTTGATTGTACTGAACTAATGGGTACAAAGCAGTGATTTTTATGAACCAATGCTCTCCTATATAATCTGCATTATTTTTCAGGAATACTTTAGGTTTGTAGTGTCAACTACAAGGACTGAGAATCCTTCAAAAAAGAAGAAGTGACATAAAAGCTCACCCTGCTCCTTGATCTGCCTGATCTGCTTCACCGTCTCTTTGAGGATGGCACATTTGTCGGGCTTGACGTTGAGGTCGTCTATGTCGTTGATGTTGGCAAAGATCAGCTCCGCCAGCTCCTCGATGTATTTGTTCTCCTGCTCCCTGTTGCGCCTCTCGGTACTTCGCTTTGGGCTGCAGGACAGCAAGGAATGACGCCAAAAACACAAATCAGCCTCAACTGGAGAAAAAAGAACTAAGCGGTGGAAATTGTCAAGGCAAACATCCAACCTAATATTAGACATTACATCTGAAAAACTTTTGTCTTTGTGCACTGACCAGCTTTTTTGTGAGACAAAGACGTCCCCGGTGACCCTGAATTAACTTTGTGACCTCTCGGTGACCTGACATTAATGAGACATATGACCTCTGTGCAAAGCACCATTATGTCAACAACTTTTGTGTCGTTTCATAAACTATTGTCTGTAAAAATGAACCACAACTGTTGTTTTCCTGAATAGCCATTAACAGCAATTCAACATTTATGAAAAATTTGGAATAACTTTAAAGTGCTTCACATTTAGAAAGATCACATTCTTTATACATTTTTCCTGTTCATTGGTCTTCATGATGATGCTTTTCTCTAAAAGTATCTAAGAACTCTTTGTTTCTGGTGAAAAAATAAATAAATTAAAAATTATAAAGGGAGGGATTTGCAAAATGCATAAAAGACAAAAATCACACTGTGAAAAAATGAAGATAATGCTCCATCTAAAAATGATCTATCATTATTAATATTTTCCTATCATTATTATTGAAAGCAGGTCTTTCACCTGGGTCCCAGAAGGTCTGACTGACAGTCTTTCCTCTTCACAGATTCCCCTTTGGGGGGCTCAGGAGTGTCCCCCCCACCACTACTCATCTTCAGCAGTTATCAGCACCTAAAGCAACGGAGGACAGGAAAGCAAAGCAGACACTTAGTTACACCAAATGACAAATCGTTGATTCTCTAATCTCTTTAAGTGATTCTTTGATTCTCCTGCAGCGGCAGAAATCAGGCTGTTTTTGTTTTATGTCAGACAAAATGCCCAAAAATTGCAGAAATCAGATGACTTTATTTGGTCAGGACTCCCTTCACATTTAAGGAGGTTCCACAATCCAACCATGTAGGACCAGGTCAGAGACCAGGGCTGTTTAAACAGGCCCTGACTGGGCATGCCCATTACGTTTGACAGCAGTAGACTAATTAACTCCCAAGTTCAATCATCCATGTCTTTACTCTCTTTATTAAAAGTAATGTTTGCCTCATTACAAACTCTTCTCTGAGTGAAGTTTCCAGGTAAGTAGAGATAATATCAGATCCCTAACAATAATTTAAAAAAAAGATGATAAAGTTGAAATAAAAATTTAAAAAAAGCCTTTTGTCTCCTCAGAGTTTCAGTCAGCACAATTAATCATAATATTTAAATAAGGTATGTTTTTAATCTCCCGGTGATGTAAACAACCTGCAGAGTGCATTATCAAACACAGATTATGAGTCACAAACAACAATGCATCACTGTAATGAGCCTGAAGGTAATATGTGGGCAGTCCAGTGGGAATACAGTGGGTGTCAGTAATTACTTCAAATAGAAATAGCTAATTCACGTAGGCACTCTCAGTCAGTCTTCAATATGAATGATGGTTGGGATGCTTGGAGAATATCCCTTTAACCTCAATCAAAATTAGGGACAAAACATAACTTAGGTCACACTGAAGTAAAGCTTTCATGGAGCAAGAAAGATGCACCATATGGCTGTATCATGCTGCTAGACTTGACCCATATGGTTCAGTAAAAGGGACACAATTTAGACAAGTGAGCTGCCAGAGACACAAAGCTGCTGCTGGCAGAATAAGAATCAAAACCAGCTTTATTTGCCAAATTTATCCACCTAAAAATGAAAAAAAAAAATTTAATTTATAGAAAGGGAAATAAATATATATATTTTGTAAATATGTATGCATGCAATTCACATGTTGTGATTTGGAACTTCAGTAAAGGGCTATTTCACAGCTGATTAAAGTAGTCTTTAATCAGCTCCGATTCAAAATTTAAAATGGATAGACCAATCAAACCTGGACTAAATCATGTACTTGTGATTTAGTATGGATATTCATGAATAAATTATCAAACTGAAAACATGTTTACATGTTAGACATTGAGCACAAACAAAACTGTAAAGCGTCTCTCTTTTGGTTTTGGCAAAAGACCAGAATTCGCTTTTTTGATCCACATCAGATCTTAAGACCAAAGGCATGGCAGCAAACAAAATACCACATTCAGGACCTTAGAAACAAGTTCTCATGCATTCAGTGAGCAATGAGAGTCAATTTACTGTTTTCCAACCAACCTGATGGCTAAAAGTAGAGATAAAGTGTTTCCAGTAAAGCTCAACGTGTGCCCAGACTATCATTTCCCGCCATCAGTTTTTCTCTGGCTCGCCTACAACTGGCATCCACAAGGAGAGTAAAATCAAAATTATGTTCCTTTCAGTACATTTTATAACCAAAAATATTAGAAAGGACCAGTTTTGTTCTGCAAGAGTGCATCTAAGACAATCATTTCCACACAGTCAGACAATGATGAAGAAGTCCAATAATTAAATGCAGGGGAAAGGTGGTGTTTAAAGGGAGAGTGGGCCTTTAAGGTCCTTCAACAGGCGGGGACACATCACCTGACAGTTACATAAGAGTCGGTCAGTGGGACTGATACTGCGTTGATGAAGGCACAAGAGAGGGATAAGCAAAAGGGAAAACAACAGGGAGAGAGAGAGAAAGGAGATTAGCAAGAAAAAAAATCAGTGTAAGAAAGAGAGAAGAGGAGAGAAAGGAAGAAATATTTTAAAACTGTATCCGAAAATATACCAGTGGACGAGCTGTCAGTTTTTGTGTCGTTAGGAAAAATGTTTCCGACACAGATATTATGTTGACAAGAACAAATGCTGTACAATGATACAGGCGGGGTAAACAGAGTGACAGCAGGAAGAAAATGGGAGGTGGGTCATTTGTTGCTCTAAATAATCAGGCCTGAAGGCAGAGGAAAGTATGGCCTAATTACACCATATGGGATAAGAGGACGGGAGGAAACGGCAGATAGCATGATACTTTCAACACAAATGAAAAACTTCAAGACAACTAGTGCAGGCTAGTTAGTTAATGTCATCAAGGCTTCTTTTCACGACTGAACTTTCATGCTAGCATCATGGTTTCAGCATCGAAAATCATCTTTCCATTCAGAGAGTGAAAATTGAATCACTGTAACATCCATCATCTGATTGCCAGAAGGCAACTACTTGATAAGAGAAAAAATGAAGCGTTGTGCAGAGAAAATAGCCGGAAAACACAGTGTGAGAATTTGGGGGATTCCCTGACTTTTTGCCTGTAGTCCAGGCAGCAAGCCCTCCCAATACTGAGCGCTCATACAGCAACAGGAGGCCGGCAACTTTTCAGACAACCGGGCCTCCCATCCAAGCTTCAGGATATACAGTTAAAGCCAGAAGACAACACACACCATTTTGGAAGACACACACACACACACACACCTTTTTTTCTCTGTCTGAAATAAATCAGACCAAACTTCTCTGGTTTAACGTCACATGGAATCAGCAAGATTATTTCCATTTGCTAAATGCCATGATAATTAGGAAAAGAATATATCAGAGATGTATTAATGCCTATAATATTAAATTTTTACATTATTTCCTTAGTATTTAATTATGCAATTCAATTCAATTTTGTTTCTTCGATTTAAAATTGCTTTAAATGCTTCAACATTATTTCAGTAATACAAATAATTAATTGGATTACCATTTAATAATTTTAGGAATGACTTATTTTTAAAACTTTCCCTGCATAATTTACTTTAACAGTGTATAAATTCACATTTTTGTGTGGATGTATACACACAAAATGTATGTATAAATGGTTTTAAGAAACCATTGTATTTAAAACATTTAAAACCATTTAAAGTAATTTTTTTTTTTTTTTATGAAAATAAAACCATAAAATAATACCGCTTCTGTTCAATGAGGATTGCAAACGCTAAAACATAATAGCACTGTATCAAAATTGTACTGAAATATATTTAAACGCAAATCATTCTCATTTATTTGCAGAAACTGAGTTAATTCACATCATTGTTGAGACATCATTTTTAAGCATATTTGAACAATTTTGCCACTCTCACCCACACTTCACCAGTTACTAGCTGTTTACCAAACGCTAAAAAACTCAAGAAGAAGAAGAGTAAATTAATAGATCACATTTTAGTGGAAATTTGCTTGACTGCAGTGAAACTCTTGTTGAACTTTAAATGTACCCGACGCCAGAGCGAAGCTTTCACAGCAGAATCTCAGGAGATGACGCCACAATGAACTAGTTATATATTAATTATGATCATACTGAGAGGAAACGGGTGACCTTAAGAGGTAATATCACACAACATTGAAGTCCTCATGTTTCATGGCTGCAGTGCATGCAACAGTCCCACATGATGGTGTCAGAAATCAATACAAAAAGGCTCCTTTAAACTTTCAATCAATCACAAAGAAGCTCCACACACAGACACAAAGTCTGAGCACTCACAACTGACATCGCTTGGATGTTCACGTCAATATTTGTGTGCATCACAATACACAGACACATGCGCAAAGGTACACATATGGCGCGTAAACATGTGCATTATAAATTAACACTAATGTAGGCTGCAACAAAAGCCTTTATCCAGCTCTGCCCGATGCTAATGCAATCAGAGGAGCAGAGAGCTTTGCAAAGCGAAGCCATTTAAAAACAATTTGAGCTGGAGAGAAGGGACAGGGCCAGAGGGTCAATGCTGCCATTAAGAAATTAAAGCTGAGGATTGATTACTGGCTGCTTAAGTGGGCCTTGTCTCCAATAGAAACCAATCATGTGTTTGGGTTCTGCAAATCTAAAGTCAAGAAGGCAAAACTGTTCCTCACAAAGCAAAGTAATATTTCTGTGAAAGACATATACAAAACTTCTATAATCTCTACAGATTTTGTGAATGAACTCATACGAAAGTGTCAGGATTGCGGTTCTGAAAGTGTTAGCAGTCACTTATTACCAAACCGTCTTTCTGGTTTTCAAAGAACAAACCCCTGTGGTTTCTCTGTGCTGCAGCGGACAGAGAGCAGGTAGGTGTCAGATTACACTCAGATGGAGGTCAGGCTTGGGGAAGAGATAGAAACACGGAGCTGCTCTGGATTCTAGCTTCATTTATAAAGACAAAAAACAGCAAAACATGAGTAAAAGTTCTACAAAATGCATCAATAAGTAACAGCCCCTTCATTTGCAACTGAGCTAGTGGTTGGGAAGATGAGGCAGCAGCCGCCCTTGTGAAAGACCAAAGACTCTCAAAATGATAGTTGTCATAGGAGTACAGTACATTACGGGCTGTTATTAAGGTAATGAGTCATCCCCAGGCCTTAGCTTGCACACTAATTGAGGTTTTGAGCTAGTAACAAAAAAGTGGACCATGATGTCTTATGTAATGACAGAGAGCAGAAAATTAAAGCTGATAGTGGGATAACAGAGAGCCTCTCTATGCCTAATGTGATAACACCTTCACTGAGTAAATGTCAGAGCTTTTGTCCCCAGAAATGAATTGAGTCAATCAGTTTAGTAGCAGCTTCACTCCCTTTAGGTCTGAGTGTTTGTCGAGATGAATTGCTTCCGAGAAACTTTTTGAAAGAAGCGCCTTTATTAATTAGTTGGAATTAAATGAGCCTCACATCAACAGAGTTATTGTGCTTTTTATTCTTCCTAAGGTTTCTATCAACTTTTTAACATTTTGTTTTCAGATATTTTCATTTTCTCTCTCACCTATTAGCTCCTCTGTTCAAAGCTCAGATCTCAGTGACACAAGAAACAAAGATACAATCTT